ACAAGAGAGTCATTCTATCATTCAACAATTAGTTGTCAGAAAAAAATTAACTAAATTTCAAATTTAGTGTACTCAAAGTGCGAAAGTTAATAATTACTTGTCAAGAAGTCTGATAAATTGTAAGACGTGGTCATTTTAAATAGAAATATTATTGTTTAAAACTTGAGACTGCAGAAAAGCATTACAAATATAAAATGCATTTATTTTCAATTAAATAAATTACAAAGCTGAAAAATTTTGTTATAATTCTGAGCAAAAATTATAGTATTATTGTCACTTCAAATATTAACTGAAATGAATTGCAATACATTTATTTATTTACTTACTGATTTTTATTCATTATAAGTTATTCGTTTTTCAATTACTGCACATTCATTTTTTTTTATCATTTGCTACTTATCATCATTACTGTTGCTGTTATTAATTACTGCTGAAATCATTGCATTATTATTAATAATGATATTATATTGTTATACATTCTGCTGCTAACACTTGATGTGATACAAAAGTTCAATTTTCAGCATTTGATCTCAACTTTTGTGTCTTACAAGAAAAATGCTGTGATTATTTCACGGTGACTTGTGACTGTACCACACATTTTTTGGATTGTAAATTCATTTTTTGTATTGTAAATTCATCTTACTTCTATCTTTTGTTACTTTATCAATATAATTGTGATAAAATTTATGTATGTGCATTACTATTGGTTAAGAAACACTGTTTTCAAGTTATTTGTTACTTTCAAAAGTTATTTCAAAATTTTTTAATTTGATTGTAATTCGAAATTGCATGGAAACGTTTAAGAAATGTGTAGTTTTACAGTTTCCAAATCTCTAAAAGCTATCATTTAAAAAACATTATTAATAATCTTGCAGCGAAAACTGTTCTTACAAATTTGAGTAAAGGTAAAAGTTCAAGCATATTGACATTGGTATACAGTTTAAAGAGCAATTTAGTAAATTTGATTCAGTTTATAAATTTTCAAACAAAACTATTGCTTGAATCAACTCCATTTATTTTTTTCTTATTTCAACAAATTCAGTATTCCCCTATTCTAAACTTTGTAATTTGTTTCTAAGTCTTGCATTACAAATAGTAGTAATTTTTTTAATAAAAAAACTTTACACATTTAAACTGAAATTACGATTTATTGAGATCAAGTAAATATACATTAGATTTACTGAAAGATATATTCAAAAAACTGCTTTAAATACTTCTTGGTAAACAAAAATAGACACGAAAGAGTATTATAGAATAAATTTAACTGCAAACTACTACTATAACTTTCATATAACTAACAATTTTACGAATAATCAACTAAAATATTACTGAGCGAATATTTTATAAATAGAAAATTATTCATGAAAAACTTTCATTTTGTATCTAATTTTTCTTTTTTTCTTCCATAGATTGATTTTATAATTTCAATGCAATTTTTGCAGTAAATTATTGTATTCAGAAGATTGCAAGAATCGCACATATGGATCGTTCTTGAGAATCTGTTCAACATGTTTCACCGCATCATCGAATAGTGTTTTGTCAACATCTTTTTCTTCAATTCGTTTTTCAATTAACTGGCGAACACCAAATGGTAGAAATATCTGCAATACGTTTGTTTTCACTTGTTACTGTTATTTTATCAAACTTTTATCAGCTAAGATATATCTCGTAATTGTCATGTATGACTATCTAATATGCACAATAATTATGAACTGGAATATTTTTTGCATATATTATTTCATGTAAAAAAAGTTCCATTACCCTTTCAAGTTAAAACATTAATGTAGTTATGTAATGCAAATTCAAAATTTTTATTTGAATTGATGGATATTTCGACTATTTGTCAAATCATTCAATGAAAAACTATCACATACTATTTGCATTTTAGTATGTGATATCATTTTAATAAACAAAAACGTTATTTTTTCCCCTTTACATGCTTTATAATTATAAAATTTACACTAGAAATAATCATTTTATCATGGTTGAAAATTAGATATCCAATTATAATTTTTTTCTTTACTTATTGGCAAATTCTGTAATTACGGTAAAATATTTGATGAAATAAAATGCTAGAAAGATTTTTACTTCATTATGCGTTCCTTCAACCAAATATTGCTTTTGTATATTTCGCCCCATGTTTAGCATTGCTGTGCTCTTATTTTTTGTTTGCTTGAATTCTATTATTGCTTCCCAAAAACGTAAATTTTCTTCCGCATGAATATTCCGTAAGAAAATTCGAAAATAATATCTACCAATCTGAAGCATTACTTTTTTTAAATCAATTTCTGTTGCTTTAGACAAAGATAAAAGATGAAAACATAGAAAGATATTATGATTCTGAAATCCGAATGATTATTAAAAATTTTTGAATCATAAAGGTAATTCAAGAAAATCAAAAAGTTTTAGCGTCTTTTTATAATTTATTGAATTTTTTCAATAAATACCATAAATTTAGTTTTCATTCAAAAAGTACTACAGTATGTATACATACATATGTATATATATTATACCTGATTACCAACTAGTGCTTCAAAACTAGTAGTCCATTTTTCAGCGCTAATTCGTGGCAAAAGTTTTTCCAGAAAATTAACGTAAATTTCTGATCGCTTAAATCTCGGAAATTGATCATTTTCCAAAAGTCGGTTCACTTCTTTCACAGCAAGTGCAAATGCTGCTGGATCTGGGTCATCTGTTTTTGCAGTTTCTTTTATTTTCTGTAAAAATTTCAATTAACTTTATGCATTTGCAATAGTTTTGAAGCAGACAATATTAGAAGTGCTACTATTTAACAAATCAAAAAGCAATAATTATTTTAGCAAAGATTTATTTTTGTTAAAGCAAATAAATGGTAATTAATAAATATACCTGCATTGCTACACTACTTAGATTAACATATGGTGAATATTTTGTGAAAAATTCTTTAATATACTCTTTCTTTTCAGCTGGATCAGTCATCTTTTTGAATTTTTCGTATGATTCAAGAAACGATAAGTTTTCTTCCGCTAAAGCATCATGCAAAAATGCATGAAATAATTGTCGGCCTAAAAATCTTTATTTCTAATTTGTAGAAATTCCAAAATCAGATTTTATCATGACAATAAGACTGAATTTACAAAATTGATATCTCTCACTATACAATTTTTACTCTTGCAACGCTTAAAAATAATCAAGTAAATGTAATTAAGTTTTACTTCATGATCTTTTTTGATAAGGTTTTTGCTTTCAAATGTTCTAACCCTTTTGGTCCTTTAGCACGTTTGCTAAAGATTCATTGGCCCAAGAAGCAGCTCGTGCATAATCAATATCTTCAGTACTCGGTAATTCAATACTATTACGATCTGCTTTCTGCATATCAAACATTGATACTGCCTACATGCAAAATATATCTCTTTTAATCACTCTTGCAAAAATTAATTTGATGCCCGAAGGACTTTTTGAGAAGTTTCTGTGGCATGAAACTGATCAACAATCAGGACATAGCTTGAGTAGCTAAAAATATTATTTTTTGACTATAATTACCAGTTTACCGGTAGATCAACTGAATGACTGATGTCATGAAGACAAAGGTTAACAAAACAAATAAATGAATACCATATTTGATTTAGTTGATATTTCCGATTGTCTTTCTTGTAGAAATTGTGTGCTAAATAGTTGACTGCTTTTCTTTACAGGCGACTTTACTCTATTATCCACAGAATTAGAACCTGATTCTAATAGAAAACTAGTGTCGTCCGTTTCCTTACGTATTTGTGGCTTTTTCACGTGATTCACGGAAGTCAATTGCTTAGGCTGTGATTTTTTGTATTGTTTTCCGTCACTTCGTTGGCTAGTGGAGACTTCAGTAACAGAAATGGTATCTTTGGTGTAAAATACTTCTGATATGATATTTTCGTGTTTGGCTGATGCGATACTATCAATAAAAATAATCCAATAATTAATTTATTATGCAATAATTTAAATATGTGAATTAAAAATGCTATTATTACAATTTTTCACATAAAAGCAACAATTTATTGAGAATGATTATTTAATGAGAGTTTAACTGAAATAAAAAGCAACCACAATAACAATACACTACAAAATATTAGAAAACGTTTTTTTTTCAGGATTTGTGATATAATACCTGAAAGTATAATTGTCTCAATTATAAAAAATATTCTTATCGCATTTATAGAGTAATCAATTTTAAATCAATCAATTAAAACTATAAAATCTCAGAAATAGGATTCATACTCATACACATCCATTAATAAGCTCAAAAGTAATGACATTTTTAATTTAAAATTTTAGATTGAACTTGAAAAGTTCTATGACATTTTCCCTATTTTTATCAAAATGGCCTCTTTTATTTTCCTGTTTACCATTAGAAGAAATTTATGCATTACAATCTGAAAATTTTCTATCAACTCAAATTTTTGTAGTTTTGAGAAGAACTCACGACTTGTTTAAGAAATTTACTTTATCTCTACAAAACAGAGAATTCCCACAAAACACACAATATCTTTTTGTGTAATCATGTATTATTAATGTTTTATATTAATATTAAAATAAAGTCAAAATATTGATAGATAGACATATAGAAATGATTGGTGATTACTTATTACCATTGATATTATTGGTAACTTGTCTTGCACAGAATACATGAACTAATATTTGAAAATGAAAAAATAGAAGGCTTTTTAAAATTTAACTTAGACAAAGTAATTACAAAGCGGATAGTTAGCTGATTGGTTAGGCAGTAAGTAAGTAAGTTAGTTAGTTACTTAGTTTGTTATTTAAGGCATTGGTAACCTAAGCAACAGGTTGCTATACTTTTTTTTTTCATATTTTCTGTTTAAGTCAAGAAAAATAAAAAAAAATAAAGTAATCAAGCACTTTATTTTTAAGCCGCAAATAGCATTACAATAACATTACTTACTTAACTGTTAATTTGCGTGCTTCTTTTTCAAAGAAACAAAAATGCAATTTTAATACCTTTTTTCACGCCTTTTTCAGTTTTTTTTAAATGCTACCATATCAGTATGCAAATACTTTACTTCAGACTCTCTTTTACTTCATTTTTTAAAAACAAGCTACAACCATCATTTGCTTTTTTTATCAAGTATAGAAATAACCATTGTATAAAAATTAAAAATAAGTACTACTACTAATAATAATAAATTAATAAGTAACTAAATATATACATAAATAATGAATAGTAATGATGGAAATTAATGCTAATTTATTTAAATACCGATTGGTGAGTTAACTTTTCTTTCTTAACATAATTGTTTCTGTTTAAGAGTAACTTTTTCAAAAGAGTTAAATAATTTTATGATTTTTTTAGCAACACACTATATCACATCTTCTGTTCAAATTAGCACATTATAATAAGTGTAAAAGAAAGTAATTTAGAGTAAAAGTTAAAAATGATTTTAAAATGCTAACCTTTCAACAATTGATTCGTCTTTAAATGTTCGCCACATATGCTACCCTTGTGGGTTGGGATTCAGTAAGACAATCTTGAAATAAACGAACTTATCTCTTTTGTCTTTCTACTGGTGAAATTCAAATTCGATATCAAAAATTATGCTTCCAAAATTGTTGTTTTCTTTTGAGTATTGATGAACAAACTTCTAAACACATTACTATCCTTTAGTTAAATTCAATCCTTTGCTAGATACAGTTTCAAGTTTCGTATCTACAGTTATCGATATCAGTATCAAAACGATCAAAACAATGGAAAAAGAACTTGTATATATGTATAAGTTTATTTTTATTAAATTCGTTAATTTTTGTATTGAATGAATTTGAATTCTTTTGTGCTGAAAATTTTCAAACATTTTATTATCAGTATAAAAGACTGATAAAACTTTTTACAATTCAATCATAACAAACTTTTTTTAAGCAACAGTTTAATTACTGTAGTTAAAAAGCACTGCTGCAAAATTAGAGGCCTACTTGTGAACAAAGAAACAAATGGGATTCGAAAAGGTAGATCAATAAATTGTTGAATGCAGATGTCACTGAGAGGACACAGACTTTTAACAGTGCCATAAGAAATTTACCTAACAATTTTAGTTACTATTATATTAATCAATATTTTAACTTTTATTTATATCATGCATTATCATATACAATTGCAGGATATGTCAGTATGACAGCAGTGATATATTTATATAAACATTATTAGATTGATAAGCAGCAGAAATAGCAATTGTATACACATTTGCTTGTCTGATGGAGAAAACTGTACAAAATTCATTACAGTACTCAAACAAAACGTAACAAATTTTTTACATCTTATCAAGTATAAAATTATTTATTAGATGCATAATGAATCAAGCATTACATTTTAATCTCATCACAAATAAAAAGAAATATCTTTGCATAGAATATAATTATCTTATTGTAAATAATTGAATCAACTTTTGTCGCAATACACATTTTTAAATGTGTATTGCGACAAAAGTTGATTCAATACTTCAATAAATTAGACAGAAGGCAAAGAAGCATTTGAATTGAGAAGGATATAGTCTAGAAATATAGTGTAATGCAAAATAATCAAATCAACTTCTAAATAATTCATTAGCTGAGCATAAGTCACTGCTTTTGGCTAACTTTCTGACGAATATTCAAGGATTTCTTGCAAAAAGTTTACATAAAATATAGCGAAAAATTTTGGTAATCATTTACTTGAGTGTCTTTTCTTGCAGAATTAAAAAAAATTAAAATTTATGATGCGTAGATAGCAAATATAAGTGTATACTGATAACATAAAGCAGGTAATTCAACTCAAATATTTGGCTTAAAACAGTAAAATTGTTTGCGTCGAGAAAATGCAAATATTTTTCTCATAATCGTCGCATATGAACAATGTTATAATTAACATGAATTATCGAATATAATTTATTCTAAAAAAATGTTATCAAAAAAAATAAAATAAAATATTGAAAAAAAAAAGATGAATAAGTGCTAAAAACTTTTGCTAGATTGGGATCATTTATTATTATTATTTAGTATTATCTATGCCATAGTTTTGCCACAATAAGTAAGTAATTTTCATTATTTTAAATTGAGTGAATCGTAGCATTGCTGTTTTTTTAAATGATTTAAATTAAAACTATGCAGTCACGTCTATTGAGATGAAAAATTATGAGGAGAAATTTGAGTTATTAAACTGCCTGTTTGCCTTGCTTGCTAATCATAAACCAGCTGTGGTTTATGACTAGCAAGCAAAATTAGTTACCTAAGCAAAGAAAGTTATAACACTTTTACTAATAAACTTTTATTAAAAACTTAAATGTTATCAAACTTTTGATAATTTTTACCCAAGTAAGAGATTAAGTAATGTTTTTTTAAGCAAAAAGCAACAAAAATAAAATTTTGTCTACTTTATTTTGCTATTTATCATGAGCATACAGTTCAATACAAAAAATCACTTGGTATCAAAAAAAAATTTCGCTGCAATATCAGAATTCACTTATTTTTTATTTCCATAAATAATTAGTTATTCATATATTACATTCAAGAAGTAACTGAATTAATAAATTTACATGCTTGAAATGATTTAAAAAATTACTCTCATTCAATTTTAGTGCTTAAAAAAAATTTTTATGCGTGTAAATACCTATAGCTATAATAAATTACTTGCAAAAATTTTACAGTAAACTTAATTTAAAAAATCAATAATGCATAATAGACAAAAGAGTAAAATTATTGTTTGCATTGTATTTAAATATTAATAGTTTTGTAAGGAAATTAAACTGCACACAATGTTTTAAATGCAAAGCTTTTATCACCACAATACATTCTAGCATAAGCGTTCTTTTGCATAAAAGAAAGCATAAAAACCAATGTAACATAATTTGGGAAATTTTTAAAACCTATCTTTAATGACTGCTTTTGAGCAATTTTTCTTAAAACCAATAAATAGCACTGAATGGATAATTTCTTTGCATAACTGCCTTGTCCATTATTTTGCACATATTTTTATTATCGGAAACATTAATTTTGCAAACGTGCCAGCAGAGTTATTGAACTGAAAAAATCATTTCTATGCAAGCAGTAAATAGAAAACAAAGGTTGACTGACTTATTTTACTCAAAGCATTAAAAAATTTGCTATTTGTTCAGATTTATTCTTTACCATTTTGGCAAGATCAGACTTCATTTGCATATTGATGTATTTTATACTTTCCAGTGTTCAGCAAATATGAAAATGTTATATGATGTCAAAAAATTTGTACTCTCTTCAAATAACAATTATTTAAAAGTTAATATTTTTTTTACTGCAAATCAAAGCTAACAATAAGTGTTGTAGTTTTAGGCTGCGTAAGTGGTCTAAATTATATTTCTCCATTTTGCAAGTTGTAAATTCAACGAGCATTTTTTCAATCTAAAGCAACTATCTTATGCTAATTATTTGATCTAGTATGCAAATATGTTTACATTTGATTGCTGAAAAAGTAATCAACAAATTTGATCAGTAATATTTAAAATTTTCAAGCATACTTGAACAATACAAGATGTTTTGTAAAAAATTTGTAACTATAATGATATTTTCAGTAGGTGGGAAAATTATTGCACTGAAGTTACGCAAAAAAATCACTCCATTTTTTTTGGTTCAGAATAATTGTTGTTGATTTTAAATTTACAAACTACAAAATGTATGGATAGTGAAATAAATAATTAATAGATAGCAGTCGCATAATAAATGAAGCATTAAAATTATTAAAGAATATTACGACTGAAGCGATAATAATTTAGAACTATTTGAAAATACTAATTATTACTACTGTGACCAGAAATAAATTTAATAAAGAACATGATTGTAAATAAGAATTTTATAAAAATTGAATGTTAAATAGCAATGCAAAATATTAAATACTACTGCTGATTTGCAAATTTTTCTTTGGTAATTCAAAATATTACAAAACTTTTTTTAGGTTCATCAGGTTCACTAATTGCAGTAAGGAAGGACATGGTCAGTACATTATTATTATTATTACTATTATTATTATTGTTATTATCAGAACACAAGTTTCGGAACTGATATGAATACTGCAAATATAACATTCAAATATTTTTTAATGTGAAATATAAAGTACTCGCAATGCTATTTATGAGGAGTTTTGGCAAATTTTTTTGTCTTTGAATTGCATTTAATGAAATATTGTGCCAAGCAAAATTTTCCTCATATTTATCTTCTATTTACTTCAAGCAGTAAACAAATCAAATGGATTTGTCTAATAAATAATGCAAATAAACTGATAATTTGCAAACAGAGTCTGAAACCTGTCACTTATAATCATTTTATCATTAATGGGTACATTCTAAGTTGATCACTTGATTCTTTAATTCATGCCGTTTACAAGTGAGTTACAACTAGTTTTCAGTGGTAGTTAAAACAGGTTGGTTATTTGTTCTTTGTTATCAGTACACATTTTACTTTATTTCTTTTTTAATTTTCTTCTAAAATTCAAATAAAGTTGCAAATTCGACTTGTCAAATTTCTTATTGATATGGCAAAAAAAGATATGAATAGAGCAAGCAAAAAGTCGTCAATTAGAACATTCTTTTTACGTACTTAGAATAATATAAGAAATTAAATTCAAATTCAAATTCTGCTCAATGCCTTTTCTAATCATTTTTTACAGAAACAAAAGTATTACTTTAAAGTTTTGAACCATTTTGCGCTGTCAAATAATAAAGTTCCGACGGTATTGAAGAGAATTTAATATTTGGCGAAAATGATTATTGTCAGTTTACTGCTTGGATTAACTTTCGCAAAGCAAATTTATGGTATACAATTACTATTATTGCTTTTTTGAGTAGAGAATTTTATTTTGCATTGTTGTGAAAGTTTGATCAATTTGAACAATTATTATAAAAATCGAAAAATATAACCACAATTCAATAATGAAAAATCCAAAACATGAACTGTAAATAATTTTTACATATAAAATAATTATTATAATAATTAGGTTTTGAATGGAACGAGAACTTGATGACTATAATATGTGCACGTAGGCCAAAATTAAATTATTGCGCGGCAAATGATCACAATAATACAAAAAATTTTGATTTTGAAAATAATTCAAATGTATTGTTACGCCATAATTATTCAACAGTGGATGATCACAAATTTGCCACGCAGTACAATACATCACAATACGTAACGACAAGTCCTTTTGAAGAAATCAAAGAGCGGTAAAAGAATTTCTTTTCGTTGCAAATTTTTTTCATTTTTTTGCTATAATTTAATACAAACGTTTTTTTTTTCTTTTACAGTTAAGCGTCGAACAATTTTTATTAATATTTTATATAAGCAAATAAAATTCATTTTCATCCTTTAGAATATTGATATTTTTAATAATAATTAATTAAGCAAATTATTCAAACATATTGTTCTGCATATTGCACACTGCCATTTGCTCGTTGCTTGCATCTGTAAATAAAAAATTTCCAATTTCTGTGCTAACAAATGTATAGGTCTTCTGTTAATAAGTAAATTGTTATTGCTCATTGCAGATGCATCTTTAAGCACTAATTACTTTACTACAAATGTGCTCAATACTTTTTTATAAATTGCAACATTTCAACTAAGTCATAAAATTTATTATTTATGCGATCCCTCATAACTCATAACTTACAGTACTAACCAATTACCAGTAATTATGATTTGAACTGCACTAATTTTTTCAAGTTTTGAGACAACGAAAAGAAATGACTGTAAAAATAAATTAATAATCTTTTTAATCAATAAACTTTTCCGAAAGACGATGCATGATTCCGACAATTATTTTTGCTGTAATTATATTATAGTAAATTAAGCATTGAGTATTATACTTTAGATGCTTAATGATGCATAAGCATTCGAGAAAGTATCATCAAACATCATTGTGATACTTTTTTGCACAGTTTCATTTCCAGAAAAAAAGTTTTTTTTTGCTTTTAACATTTGGTTGAAAACGAAATTACTGCTGAAGTCATGCATGTAATGAATGTAATCATTAATATTTGCTCTTATCATCAATATTTGATTACTTACGAGTACTGTTTTCCAGATTCTATAAATGTAGATCCTACATGTATACGTAAGCCACCAGGAGCTAAACAAGCGGTAATTTTTGTACGCCAACCATTGCTAAATGTATTACATGTCATTTCAAAATTATTTTTGATCTGAAATCATATCTCATTTAGCATTTTTTCGGATTAAAAAATTAATGATGATAGTGCTAGAAATTTACACTAAATGTTAATGAATCCAAGTACAGTCTGATCGTTTCATCTTTTTTTGATAGGAAATATAGTGAAAGAACTTTTAGAGGACGAACAAACAATGATGATAACTCGTCTTGTAACAAGAATTCAATAAGTATATTTATGACGTTATTACAACTAAAAATTTGATAATAAATTACTACTTTGAGAAGAAAAATATGTTGCAGTTACTATATAAAGATTGCAGTGAACGTATAATAATTAATTAACTGAACTGTATAGTTGTACATTTATGTTGGCTTATACTAAATTCTAAATGATATACTTTACTTTCATTACAAAATAACAGAGTTGCTAACCCATGTATCACCGTTTTTGTATTTTTTTCCACCAACCACACATGCTTCACCATGGAATGCAAGCAAAAGTATTACGATTATTTCAAGCAATATTCTCATGCTAAGTATTCTGTGAGCCTAAACTTTTTATCAACTAAGCACTTAATCATAATTCAAAGTAAAACAAACAGTACATACGAGTTATTAAATTGATACATAACTAATCAGTAACTAATGGGATAAGTAACTAATGCAAAACATGCAATAATTAGAGCAAACCAAGTAATCAGAAAACTGAATGACAAAGTAGGTGTAAATAAAATATTAGAACTCCTAATTATCATTTTTTCAAAAAAATTTTTTGGTTTTGTAATCATTTATTAAAAATGCAGTATCAAACTGTTTTTCTTTTAGATTGATTAAATGTATTAAAATGTATTATTAATGTTTCTGTAGAATACATAACTTTTCTGGTTCATAAATGAGCGATAAAACTTTTGAAAAGTAAAAATGCATTTTTAATGAAAAATATTTGTAGTATTAGATTTATAAATACGTAAATATAAAATTATGAATTAAAAAATTACAAGAAAAATTAAGTCAGAAAAAGAGAAATGACAAAATAATTGTATTTTATAAACTAAAATGAAGCTACTTTCATTTTGCTTACTAAAAAGTGTACCAAAATGATAAATTTTACACTCTATCCTAACTGATTGACTCACCATCTGGCTTTTTATTATTAGTAAATGTCATCATTTTAGATCATTACAATTTGAGAAGCAAAAAACACATGAAGCATTCTGGACATTTTCAAATAATTGGGGCTTTCCATTTCATGAAGTAACACAACAAGGATTTAAGGTTGAAAGTTAAGCCTTGAAAGTACAAGTAAGCTTCTCATAAACCGATAAAATATAACAACTTTGAATAATTTTGCTTAATTTCATCATGAATTTTTGAAAATTATTTCATTAAAAAATAACAATTTTTTAATATATGTCCTTCTCATATGAAAAACTGCTCTCACTTAGTCATACAACACTAGCAATAAAAACATTTTTCAGTAAAGAAAAGTTACAAGATATTTCTGATTAAATGTGAAGAACATAATATTGGTGCATATTTTGGTTGACATGTGATATAAACCATGCAAGTTTGAAAGCAATATTAAATTTATTTTTTCAAGAAACTGCTATTACCAGGACAAACATTAGGACTAAATGTAAAAGGTACTGAGAGACCAAACGGTGCTTTGCAAAACCTTGGGCCTATTGGTTTTGGTGCTGGTGTTGCTGTTGGTACTCCAGTCGATCCAGTTAGCATTTTTTCCAAGGTATGAATCTTTCACTTCACTTCCACTTCTCAAGATTTGAAACCTTAACATGTCAATCATATCCATGCAAATAGTGAAAGTAATCTATTACGAGAATTCTCATCAATCACACTAAAAAAAAAGAAAATTAAACATGAGTAACTGATACAGTACAAATTTCTTCTCGATTTCACATTCTTTGAATACTACTGAGAACATACTGCTTCACAGAAGTGGAACCCGACATAAGTTGCAACCATTCTCCAAATGAGTTCAGTTCCACTTAATGTTGGCGCAACATATTTGACATTTTATGGATACAACACCCAAAGACTCCTAACAAATACGTAATTAAGTAGGTAGGAGTCGATTTCGGTAAAACCGGTCTCGCAGGATACGTACCTTTCGGTTTCACAAATCAAGGAGAACATCGAAGTTTGAATGACTACGATGGCAACAAACTAGACATAGTACCCGACCGCAATTCTAAACATGCTAATGGCATACCTAGTAAATATACCTCAAAAACCACTGAGGTACTCACAAATACATGAAAACTTGACGTACAATGGAAACGGACTTTGTGCCGATTACTTTCATCGAAATGTCGAAATAGCAGTATAAACAGAGATGCAACTATCAACAACTTAATCGAAATCTTTTTCATTTCAGACCAACATCAACAGTTTTAAACATTGAATAGCCTTCCTTGAATACATTGAATAAAAAATTATACCCACTATCTTATTCATTTAACGAGAAACGAAATCCATCATCACTCTTTTTCAATATTTCAAACAACATCAGCTTTAATGCATTAAACTGTAAGTAGAGTAATATGAACTCAGCAACAACAAACCAATACTTTCACAACATATACAAGTACAAAAAATATATCAATACACATAAAAATGGACCATTCAGAAATCCATGCCAAGTAAAAAATAACAGCAACGACAAAAAATCCCATGTTTTCCCGAATTTAGAAAAGTAACGTAGGAATTTTGTAAGAGCCATTTCTGTTTTCTTTAAAAATACGTACTCAGCTTTCAATCTTGATCAAATTAACAAAAAAGAGAGATCAAGAATTGAATCTTTTAAAAAGTAGACAACGTTACAATAAGGAATAACAGCATCCAAATTTATGAGGAAAAGTGGTCATAGCAAAAATATAAAGTAACAAGATTATATACAGTAAAACAACCTCGTTATACTGGGAAAACAATAAGTTTTTCCAGAAATATACTAAAAGATATTAAAATGTAAAATTATTTCACAATTTAATATTCAAATCAAAAACAGATATAGTTACGAAATCACCAACGTTGGATTTAAAAACTACTTCAGTGAAATATTTAAAAAAAAGAAAATGTTCTTTCACTATTTCAGAAAAACTGACTTGCCAGAAAAATTTTAACTGTTTGTAACAATACACGACATATAAAGCAGAAACAGCTGTCTTCGAGCTTTATGTAACTCAATTAAAAGTAGAAAAAAAGCATATCTAAAAATAAAGGAAGAAATAATCATTTACCTAACGAAAGTAATTATTCATGCACTTTCTGATTCATTCTTCTTCGATAAATATCTCTAACGACCTTAGATGCACGAGGAACTTCATCCTCACTGTCCGAATCATCACCCACAAACCGTCTCTTTCTTTGTGCAGGTGTTGAATTTTGCAGTTGATAATCGTTCAATGCCATAGCCTAAATCTTTCGCGATGTAATTTCTAAGCTTTTAATAGTTCAGTGAAAAACGTTATGATAAAAAACATACAATGCTAGGATCTGCAGTCATATTTAAGAGTTGGTAAAAGCTCTTCTTGATATTTTCTACCCGATAAATTCCAAACTTGCCACTGCTTTCGACCTTTACTTTAAGATCGACTACTGGAGCTGAAAAATTTTTTTAAATTTAAAATACTAAAAATACAAATACCGAAGTAATGCTGAGTAGGAATTTTGAATTTAAAATGGTTGAAAAAACTGACGTCCAGTAGTATTGAAATTCGTCAAACTTTCCATCAATAAGTCGACTGAAACAAAAGGACCAAAAAAGTTCCATGGAGGTGGTAACATTTGCATTAATTGGGCAGCTGCAGTCGGTGGAGGAAATACACCTTTAAATAATAGAATAATAATAGAAAAATCTACGAATGAAAATTATAAAATTGAATTTGAAAAGTCTATAGTCTTATCTGATAAGAAGAAATTACGTGGTATACCTCCAGGAACTGGATGATAACTAGCAGCTACTGTTAGCTTTGGCTTGAACGGTATCATTTGATCTGTATCTGGTCTTGGGTAACCAGAAATTTCCAAACTTACACCACCTCCCATTACAACTGATGGCCCTCCTGCCGCTATAGTTGGTCTAATCACATTTTGTGCTAAAATCTAATTTAATTTTACGACCATAACATCAGCAAAAATTAACTAATTTATAATTATAAAGTCAGCAAAGATTTACCAGTTGTTTGGATGCCATTTGATGACAAAGAAGCAGATCCAGAGATGGAGACACGTCCAGTCAACGATGAAACTTGTCCTAATTTTTTCTGTAAGAGAAGAGTTAAAAAAAGTCAATTCATGATAAAAAATTCATTATCTGAAGCTACATTTCAGCAACAAATTTAGCAAATAAGCATGAGCTAATTTCAAAAATGACAGTTTAAGCAGATCAAAAAATAGGTCAATACTCACCGAGTAACTCATCAATTTCAACTGATCATTGGTACATGGGACCAAATCCAAAAATTTATATCTATCAATTAATAACAACGTTTGCATATCCTCACACTGGTGTTTCAGTGCTTCACGTCGTCTTTGATCAACTTTCAAAATGCTTGACAAGTCCCCAACATGAGACTCAAATTCCAAATAACGATCCCAGATTTCACTTTAAAAAACATATTATAAACTACAATCAATGATTAGCAGAATAATATGACAAGGTTAAAACAATAACAAACATAGATTTCTCTGGTGTCATCGATTCTGAGGTTAATATTCGTTCGAAAATGACGCGCGTGTTGTTGTCCTCTAAAATCTTAATACTTAATATACAACATGAACATAAAATAAAAGAAGAAATTATGGATTGAAGTTTTAAAATACATAATGCACGCAAATTTTAAGAAAAAATTTTTTAAGTATGTTAAGAGAAATACCAAAAACAACTGATGTAAAAAAGTAAGGTGAACTAAAAATATGCATTTCCATTTTCTAAACGTGCACTAAAAAAATGGTATTTATAATATATAAGCTCTATGCTCAAAATGAAATTACGGTTACCATTTAAATGTGATAGAAAATTAACATAAGCGAGAGCATATTCCGGCTCATTGGCATATTTTTTCAATCCCATATCAAAAACACGTATTGCAATATCTGTGTCCTGGAAACTTGCTAATCAGAAACTGAATAATGAATGGGTAAATATTTCATTCAAGCTGAATAATAGGAATGTGAATGCTATAATAATTTTCAGTAACAGGTAACACACAATCCATTTTATTTAATAGAAAGGAAATAATTAGACATGAGAAGAGCAGAAACCTTGCTGCAGTAGTATTCCATTAGAGCAGAAGCAACGAAAATATGAAATTTACAGCGTGAATCTTGACGTGCACGCTTAAAAACTGCACGTGCAAACTGAACTCCTTCCGTACGTCTTTTAAACTTCATCAGCTGTATATATGCCTGAGAATAAATTAGAACTTAAAACTTTGTCAATCGTTCCACATTAAAAAGAAAGTGCCTCCATAAATGATACATTGTGAAAGATGAAATTCCTCCAGTATTACAATGCAACATGTGTAAATGATTACCAGAGTAGGATCAGCTGATTCAATAGCCAGCAGCCGATCATAAATTTCTTTAACACTGTCGAATTTCATTCGTTCTTCTTCATAATCAGCATATGCAAAAAACAAAAGTTGGCTTTCTTTCAAGAGACCACCGATGGCACGTTCGAATAATTCTGTATAACAAATGGATGTACTTATTTAGCAATTTAAACAGCCGAAACCAGTGAGGAATATAAGTATAAATAATCTACAATTAATTTAAAAATATGAGTTATCACGAAACCAGACTACATTATTTTATCAAATATTCACGTCTCAAGACAGGCAAGAAAAAGTATGCATCATATGACTCCATTTTTAACGATTTTATGCAAGCAAAAAATGTTTTGAACAAAATAGTTCAATTTATAACAATAATGCTTTTCACAGATCAGTAATGTTCGAAAACTGAACATCTTAAGAAAGACTATTTTAATAAAGAAATGGTTAAAAACTAACGGGTTATATCCATGTTTATTGCAGCCGCTAATTTAACATCACCCTTTTCGGCTAGAACATTAGCAGCTTGTTGTTGAAATAATGCTGCTTCATACCACACATCAGGATAATAGCCAAGACATAGTAAAGCTTGCTCATATGCATATATTACTGCAACAGGCTATTAAAATAGAAAAAAAAAGATTAAAATAGCTTGTTACACGAGCTAATATAGTATTGGCAATATTAAAAAATATTGCAGAATTAAGGCAAAATATCTAATAAAATATACTGCACATACTAATCATAAACTGGAATGTTGGTATCCACAAATTGGAACCAGAAAATATATTTCAGTTAATGGAGTCTTATACCTATCTAATCAAAATCAAGCTTTTAACCTAATTACCTCTTTTCGCAAAATAGGCATATTCTTCTGTGTCTAGTGGATTGCTTTTTTCCCACTGAATATATTTTCGCCACATCTCAAGCTAAAGTACTTTAACATTTAGCATATTATTTTTTTTACAGTTCAAGTAAATGAAATTTTGGTCTTTTAAAACTAAACTAAACATATAAACCTGCTTCATTTCTGCTACAGTTCCTCGTGGTGGTACACTTACTGCCTGCCGATTTAATCCTCTAGTAATTTGCTCCAGTGATTTTGAAATACGCTTGGCGACTTGATATTCTTTATTCCGTTCAGCTATCAACTTCTCCGCTAATGTGGCATTGATGCTCTATGGAAAAAAATTTTCAGTAAAATTATGAAAAATTCTTCATTTTAGTGCTCCCACCAAGTAACTATAACCTAAAAACTAGCAAATTAGAAACCATGACCTCAACTTTTAAAAAGCAAGTAAATTTGATAGTGAATAACTAAATAAATGATTGCTACACACAAATTATTTGGCCCTTGTAATTTACCTTCTCGTAAGCACAATACTCAGCCCACAACTGTTCGATATTTACCATTGGTGTGACCACACCACGCTGATAAATTTTACGAACAGCTGAAATTCGTTGATTTTCCGCATATTGTCCGACTGTAGGCCTGTAATCCTTCAAAAATGTGAAATAATAATGACAGGTGAAGAATGAAATACATATTCTTTAGCAGAATAAGAGGTGTTAAAACTTACGCAGATTTCAGAAATGACAGATAATCAGAATAAACTGAAAACGAATGCATATCAAGACCAATTTTATCCAAAGCAAATTCATACGCTTGTGCCATCTTTTCCCTGAAATTGAATGATATTCGGTAAATTCAACAAATTTTCGTTAAAAATACTCATAGTTACATGTTAAGAAAACTACTGATGGGTCATAAAGCAAATAATAAAATCCACTTGAATGAGATTTCTGAGAAAACTAAGCAAATAACTCTGTCAAAACTATGTCCAACCTACAAAAAATTAGAATAAGTTCCAAATTTATCAATACCTGAATGTCGAGAGATGCCCCTTAGTTTCCCGTACGTAGAAAACATAGCACTTCCAAAGATCGATGTTGAGGACATGAACAAGACAGCGTCCGAATAACAAAAAAAGAATATATTTTAGAGAGATTTTTTTCGGATAAATTTGCAAATAGTTTAACGCCTGCGCACAGTTATATGTATCAATAGAATACACTTTAATTATGCAATCATTCCCCGTCTATATCTATGCTTCAATGATTTTTAACAACATGCGTTTAAATCCTTAAAACTATAAGTTTAACGATTCAAACTTACAGATTCCACATTTTCGTAATTTTTGCCACGGAGCTGAAAATTTACACCATGAAATGTACATCTAGAAAAATTTCACTGTCATTGAAAATCTAAAAAAAAAACCAAACAAAAACAATCTGAGGCAACTGCAGAATAGTCAAGTATTGAATGTCATGTTTTTTCTTAGACTTCAGTCAGTCTGCACTGGTATTATCGCAATAATATAGTTTCAAATTTGATCACAGAGTCCATAGGAAATTGTTGAGATCAAGCATTCAACTGTAGATTCTACGATACTCAGGTAATAAGGAACACTATCAGAAATCACCGAAAACAATGAGTCACATCAGTCTGTTGAGTACCTTTAATTCACAAAATGCCAGCAACATTTTAAAGCTATTTGTTAACCTACACTTATCAGCGACAAAACGTTTAGAAAATGTTCCATATGTTACTTTCTCCAATACAAAATTTGACATTGCTAACCTTAGAGAGTGAATTCTACAAACTTTCATTGAATTACTACTCGATTGAAAGAATAATGACCCACTCAAATTTAATCTGATATTATTGTTTTTTATTAGCAATGTTCTCAAAACTACAGGAATAAAATCAAATCACGAAAAATGATCTGAATGAATGGAACTAAAATTATAAGAAACACATTTGACTGCCATGTAAAAAAAATCATACAATCGTAGTAGATTCTTTATTCGGTGGGAAGTCTTGAAAGAAATGTTAAAAAAGAATGCGAAAAAATGCAACCAAATTATCTGCACTGTTACTGAAATATTTTTCCAGAAAAATGTTTATTCTGGTGAGGATGATGGAAAAATGCATGGATAACTGGAATGTAATACATCTGATGCTTACAAAAAGTGAAAAATATGTTATTCCTAAATTTACAAGTTCCTGTTTCTGTTTCACGGAATTTTTTTCATTGTATATACGAAGAAAGGAGGAGGAGAAGAATGAACACCACTTAAGGCAGTATAATTAGAGGGAAACATTGGAATAGCTGCTATTCTGCACACCTTAATGAAGTTAGATTTTTTCTCTGTAAAAAAGACAATTCAAACTAAAAGGGATGGATTTTTAATATTATCACCTCAATTCATGAAATGTGGAACACGTGAGAGAAATGGCTACAAATGATTAACTACTTTGACAGTCTTTTTCTCTTCATCCTCCTTTTCACGTGAAACGTAAGTGAACAATTAATTTTTAGGCTAAAAAATACGCAAAAGTGAAATGCACACCCTTGTCAAGTCTCTTTTTTGATAACGAAAATTTATTAATGATTTACTTCATGGTCAATATATGCCTTCCAGTAACGGCCAGCATTTGGAAACTGTTTCACCAGCTTTTCGTAAAACGAACGCACTTGATCAATAGGTCTAGTCTGAAACTTAGAGTAGCACAAATATAAGATCAGTGCCAACAAATAATAAAGAATGATAAACTTGCTATTTAAAATTTTCTCAATCACCTACATTACATTCTACACACTGCAAAACAAAAGATTCAAGACATGCTGAAATAATCCAAATGTTATAAAAAAAAGAAAAATTTCTGCTTAACGTTTTCACAGCTTGAAATTGACAAAGTAAACCAAACTCTTAGAGTTCCATATTAATTTACTCTACAGAAATTTAATTTTATTGAGTTTGATGACGAATATATTTTATTTGATAAGAGAGATAAGTACCTGCGACTCTCGAAGCAGTAGATTCCATGCATCAACATCGAATGGATTTAATTCAATTCTACGTTCTGGACTTACAATTGAGAGCGAACTCATTGAATTTGGTACAAACTATAAATGATATAAACATTCAACACGAGCACAGGTTTTCATCGCAAACTGATTAATCTAACAAATGATTTCGAAAAAAATCATGATATTCTTTTTTTTTTTGACCAAATAAAGATGAAATATAAGCTATAAGATGAAAAGAAAACAAAAACAGAAGAAAAGACAAAAAAAGAACCTTTGACATCAGTATATTCGCAACAACTAACAAAAGTTTAAAATATATTTGTTTCGCTGATACTAATAAACTAACTGTACACTTTCTGGGTACTATGTCAAGTGCACAACAACAACGAGGTACATTGATGAATACTCTAAAATGTTCACATCAGCGAAATAAATGAAATTTTAACTTCATTTACCGTATACCATGCATTGGTTCAAGAATAGCATTAAGTAAACTGCTTTTCTGCTTCTATTGGTTACTTATTCTTTATGTGACACTAACATTACTTCGAAATGTTATTTTCTCATCCTTTCACTACTTATCCTCTTACTTTATTTCCCAACCAAGCACAAAAACCATACCAGTTATCTAACTGTATACTTTTTCTTAGATCTTTCGAGATTCCTTCAAATTTCATTCGCTACAGAGTTCTAAATTCATAACACTTACACTGAACATCTCAAATGTTACACTTCAGAAGTATGATAAAGACTTTGCTTCTTTACTCTTCCGCATTGGGATTGAATAAAAACAAAACAATGTAATAGCTTGACTTTTGTTCATATACAATCCTCTCTGAACTCACTTGAATGTTAATTTATTACATGTTTTCGTGATATAAAAAAGGGAAGAGATAACAGCTCAATATTTTATTATTTAAATAACCGCCAAATTGTGTTCTATATTTGAAAATAGTTTATCATGTTTAAATTAACCATTTAAGCTGTTTGAATCGAAACACAAGCAATAATAACTTATTTGTTTTATAAAATTAATATCAGTTATTGTCGTCTCGCAAAATACATATCAGCTAATTTATTGCAACTTCCTTAAGCAACAATCATTTTGTGTAATTTATTAATTTCCATATTTTTAGTTGGATCAACAAGTTCTTTTGTTGAAATCATTATGGCAATTGATGACCAGTCCTGATCAAAATCAACTTTTGTAACAATGCAATCAAATTAATTGTGATTTATTGCATAATTTTCTTTACAAAAAGTTGCGTGAGTGACTATGAAGCAATTGAAGCAAAAAATTAAGTAAAAAAATCTACTAATATCTGCACTTTTTTATGGATTTGAATAATACTAAAATGAATTTTACATTTGAAATACTACTAATGACATAATGCCTTGGATAAATTTTTAACTGAAGCAAAATGATCATTTTTTTAAAACACCAAAAAAAGTACTCTCAAGTCACATATATAAACATCTATGTTTGTCTATAATTACCCATCAATTACATCAAATAAGGAACCAGAAATTATATTAGCTTCAACTACATGTACTGCAGGCTTAAATGTTTATGTGTAAATATTTTCTGTGCCATGAATGATATGCAAAAATAGGCATACTACATTTTAAAGCTAAGCTAACTGGCCAATCCTTACAAAAATAAGTGATGTGGTGAAACAGCTATTTGCATAATTGGACTATATAAAATATTGACTCTGCTCACAAATTTCAATTTCTTTTTCATGTTTGAGTTGAGTGTTGTAAGTGATGGGTACTCGTCGTCCGGGGGTACCAACATTTATATGGCGTAATTTTGTGGATTCCCTTGGTCGAGATCGGTTCAAGAAAACAATTGTTGGTGAAGATGAGTTGGGGAATAAATATTACGAATTAACGAAATCAAAACGACCTGTAAAACGGTAAGGTAATAACCATTGTGTTGTGAATCAAATTGAAGGAAATATGAGCATTAATAACTAAAATAATGAAGCTTAGATATTAAATATGATGCGATTGTGCGATATATTTGCAGCATTAATATGGTAGAAAACTGCAAAATAACTCCATGATTGTGTTTGTCACCTGAAAATAGTTTACATGGTAAAGTTATAGTGGCTTCATGTCAGTAGATAAATATTCAACTGTACTGCCGCCTCCAGAATGGTTGACTTGGTTAAGAGGAATACGTAATATACCACCCACTCCCGAAGAAATCATGATGAATCGACAAACTGAGGAAAAAGTAAGTTGTCGAAGTTTTTATATGTAGTTGTTTCTTATAAAATAACGATAAGTTTGATTTCTAGATATCTCACTTATTATGTAAAATAGGAAATGGTTGACGAATATTTTGCAGGTGAAGAAAAAGGCTAAGGAAATTGATCAGAACTGGAACAATTTGCTTTCGCACGAAGAAGGCAATAAAATTCCTCATGTAGAATCAACAACAGTCTCGAGTGATGTAGATACAGAACCTGCAAATTTTCCGCGTTATCCAGAGTATGAACAACATCATAAATTGACGTGAGCAATAAGAAATGTTTTTTTTTTAGAAAATAACTTGAAAAATCTTTCATTTTTCTTGGAAAGACGTTTGTTCAGCTATTTTACAAAGTTGTCAGATTTTGTTTTCTATTTCATATGATATACTGCATTCAATTTTTTTCCATTTTCAGATGTAAATTTAAGATCTGTAGGCAGTGTTTTTTTGGTATTAAACTTGTTAATGTCTTTTAATTTAGAAATTGTGTTTTTCGTATTGTTTCTACTAATCATCTTAGAATTAAATTGTCTTAAATAAACATGTCAGATCCAGTTTTGTGTGTACTTTTTTCTAGTTTTGCAATTTGTATTTGAATTATGCATTTTTGGATTTGTAATCTGTTTTCATTGTTTTTTTATTTGTTTAGTTTCCAGTGATGATGAGTTGATTTTGTGCTCAGAATGAATGAGATTATGCGATTAATGTTTTTTTTCTGATTTATTTTGACAAAATGCTTTAACGTTCACTTAGTTTAATATTTTTGAAATATTGTGTTTTATCTTATATATTTAAGGTTATTTGACTATAATATATTCACTACTAAGTTTGAAGTATCGTGGATTGCCCTAAACCGTAAAGTCATTTAGTCTCCAGTGATGATGAGTTGATTTTGTTCATTTTTGTGTCATTCAGATGGTTACAAACTTTTATGCATAGTTTCCTTTTATCGCAGTAACTTAGGATTATATCAAGGTTTTGAGATTCGTTCTAGAGAATACTCTTAATGAATGTCAGAAGTTGTTTTGCAATGAATCGATGGTGCTCCAGCATGTCTCGCGTGAAAAAAAGATTTTATGAAGTAAGTCCTAAATTCAGCTTACTAATTAGTTGAAAATGATTGCATATGAATAGGAAATTATCTGAAGTCGAAATGTGTAAGGTGGTGCATTAGTAGTTTACGGTGTTTAAAAATATGGTTAAAAGAGCTGAAATTTCAGGAAGCACGAGCAGTGTACAAACCTGTTGAAAAAATCTACAACATATATCTTGATGAGCATTGTTTAGTAACTCCAAAGAAGTATCCAGTTCAGGTGTCGTTTTCTAAACAGTTCATACTCGCACTCATCGTTTTAAAAACTGCTTGATGTGTATTGTCTGCAAAAATAAAACAGGAATTATTAACGTTCCAGATATCTTCCGAAGCACTTGCAGTGGCTGTTGCAGAAGAATGGAATATGCAGAAAAATGATCTAAGAGAGAATTTGATGCGGCTTACGGGCTTGATTTTTACAGCTATCGACAATCCTACTTCCTTAGGAAAGTAATTATTATACTTTTATAACATATTTTCTCATTTGGTAATTTGCTATAACAATATTTTTCTAGAGAAACTGAAATCACACAAATGATATAGTCATCATAATGCAAAATATCAATGTGCAATATTATGACAGTATGTTTTATCTCTGTTTTACCGAATTACTGAGGAAATAAAACGTGTATGATTCAATTTTAGCTAGTATTGTCAAGATATTCACTTACCTAAACAAAATATGCGGATTTTAATTTCAGATCTGATCTGATCTCGCAAATACTTGAATTTTTGGAAAAAGATACAGTCCTTTATCGTTTGGAAAATAATAAGAATATACTTGAATTGCAAAAAAATAGATGGGATCCAGTGGTTGAATGGGTGAACATGGAGTATGGTTTGACAGCGAAACCTAGCTATTCTATAGTTGAAGGTCACTTGATAAAGATTCATGAACTTCCTTAATATTATTGATTATCCAAAAACTTGGTTAGGGAAGTTAGACTTTTATTTGAAAAATCTTTAAGATTGATCTATTTCATGGTGAAGTAAAACTGTCTCAGTTATCTACTTCAAGTTGAAAAATGACTTTTCAGTTTATTCCTGTCGATGATAGAGTAATTTATTCTAACAAATATTTAAGAAGCAGTAGTAGACGATATTTCACGAGCTCGTCTTGCGAATCAGTTGTCTGCATATAGCTTCTTCCAGTTGATCGGTCTGCAATATGCCGTTGAATCCTTGAAATCCGTATTTCTTACTTTGGCAACAGTGACGCATCGTTTACATGTTGATGAAGCAGTTGAGTTGGCATTATTAGAACACGAATATCAAAGTAGTATTTGGGGAAAAGTGAGTAGTTTCCTGAATAAATAAATATATTTATATTTGTTTATTTATTATTTATATTTATACTCTTCATATTTGTATATGAAGTTTGTTTTTTCTTTATTTGAAATTTACTCACATGAACAATTATTGCAAAAATAGTTTAATGTGTAGAGTTAATCGTTTTTCGGGATTGAAACTAATAGTTGTAGGTAGAGTGGGCTCACGATATCGAACGAGAAGAGCTCATATCAAGATTATCGGCTGGGGTTATGGCAATAAATTTGTCTTATTCTGAAGTAGAAAAAGAGAAGCATGAGGAAAATGACGAACTTTCTGCATTAAAATTTGTTTAGCTTAAGAACAATTAACTCTCATCCTTTTTCCTTACAAAAATTAATTTTGGCTTCAGTTATTAGTTGTTAATGCTGTTGTTCATAATTTTTATGTGGTGGATAGCTCTTCAATACTTTTAAGTTTTTCTTCATCGTTTATATTTTGATCATAGTTGTTTCGGAAAGGTAGAAAAACAAGTAAAACCTAGGCATGTGTAAATTTCATTTAAGTAAGTTTTTCTATTGGCTTTAATAATAAAATATTTTAGTAATTAAAACTTATAGATGTTGTTAGCTTAAATGTATAAACTTGTTTACAAAAGTGCTGAGGCACAGCACTATATGATCAGATACTCAATAACTGGTTCATTTTTAGTGCATGAAATTTGATCCTTATCAGTAGTTCCTTTCAATGAATAGTGATTGGCGCTCTAGATTAAATTTATTTGGGAAGTTTTAATGCTGATGTTAGGTTCAGTTTTTGATGGGTTTACAAAAATTTTACACTTTGTTTGTTCGGACTATTTCGAATTATTCATTTTAATAATATTTGACCAACATTTTGTGCCTTATCGTTTCTGAATTATCTTGATTTATCCTGCAGCATAAATTTTGATCAACATACTTTGATTATCGATAATAATATTTTATTCATTTTGTGAAACCTTACTGTGGGACTTTAATAGATTAATTAGTATTGTTTTGGTAATGAAAAAGCAGTGCTCTGTATTACTTTGATTAATTTTCTATTGTTAGTAGGAAATCAAAACCATTTGGCAAGTTTGTTTCCTTTTTCGAATTTGAAATGATTTGGGTCACCGCAGTTACATTGAAGTGGCTTAATTGCATCATTTTTGTTTCGGATTTTGATAAAATTTTTCTAATGAAAGTAGGCTTCTATTTATTTGACAGTTTTTGATGTCTAAATATTATCTTCAAGTAAAAATTAGCTAGTTTCTTATGTACTTCCAAACTGGAAGTGAAGGCTAATTTAATGTTCTTAGGATTATGAAAGAAGCAATGGAATATGAGAGAATGAGTATGTGATATTATCAACTGCTTAAGTAATTCTGTGTGATATAGAAGAAATCAGTTCGTTCCAAGGATCTTTGTCTCTCTCATTAAAATTAGTCACCGAATTAAGTAGTTGGTAGTGGCATTAGTCGTCAGTTCAAACGAAAATTGGTTCTATGTGATTTAACTTCTGATATTTACTGCAGGAAGAATGTTGCTACGACGTGTTACATTAAGTGGACAATTTTCACAGCTTACTAGCGATTCAGTTCATTCAACGAGATTCGTAGTTGTAAGTGGTTTAGTAGCTATGGCAGTTGATATTTTGGTCTCATCATCTTTGGCTTTGTTCTTGATTTATGCATGTATTTATCGTAAACTTGTCTCACCGTACGAACGTGGTTTCTACTGTTATGAAGTGAGTTTGCTGTTCATTAATTCATGTGAGGAAGGTGGTCACTTTTCACTTACACAATTTTTCATTTTTAGAATCTTAAAATCAAAATTGTGGCCTGTGATTCTGCATGTAAGCTTTTTAATTCATGATCTCAACTAATGAGTATTGACTAGGAGCAGCAGTTATTTGCATTTCAATTCGACCATCTAAAGTTTTTGATATTTATTTGTTTTATTTAATTAAATACCATTGTACTTTCTATCTCATTTTCTCGTAAACTACTGCTAATGGGCAAACAAAACATTCAATTTGATAGTAATGAAGAACAACTAAGATTCGTAGCTCTGTAATAACTTTTAATTGGTCTAAGCATCACAGTGAAGAAAGAAATGCCACAGTTTGAAGAGAAATATAGTAGTTATTTTACGTTTTCATTTCTAAAGTCGTATAATAAATAATAAACACAGCAGAAATGAATCCCCATAGTAGTATAATTTCTAGTCGAAAAAACTTCAAATGATGTTGAAAACACAAATTTAGTTGTTTTACTCTTTCTGCAGGTACCATATCTTAGTAATCCTTTTCTCCCTAATACTGTATCGAGCACTCAGTTATTGGTCGTGTCCTTTATTTCACCTTTTTTCGTTATTGCTTTGGCAGAAGGCATACTGTTTTTGATATCTCAAGGTGAGAATAAATTACGCAAATATTTTCACTCAACTACGTCGATTTATATCAAGTATATTACTTCTTTCACTGTCGCAACATTTATAATGGAGGTACAATTTTTTTTCACAATTTTATCTTGAAGTTTCTCAGAAACGTAATTGGCTTTTGTTTTAATTTTTTTTAAATTCTTTTGAAACTATTGAGATACTTGCTAGAACCTTATAAAAAAATATATTTTTTGATTCCTCTAAGCTGTTGTTTCAGACATTGAAGTGTATGTTTGCTCGTTTAAGGCCTCATTATTTAAGTGTGTGCAAGCCTAACTGGGAGCAAATCAACTGCACTGATCCAAATACTTACATTAAAAGTGAGCCAATTTTTTTTTTGACTCCTTTATTCAACCAATTTTTGTATTACAAAATAGAATGCTCTTTCGAAATTAAGAGTCAGAATGTACTGTCTATCAGAAATTTTAAAATTTGCGCATTAAAGGTAGCAAAAACTTTTGTTTTGTATAAACTCCAACTATCTGGTCACTTCAGGTTAAAGAATTTGTAAAGTGAGGAATTGATGAATAGAATATGACATATTAAAGTTTGAAAGAGGACATGGTGATTTCATGCATTGATTTAAAATTCAAGGGAAAGATTGCTTAGGAATTGATGAGTAAAGACAGTTTATCCTCTTTTTAGAAGAATTATGGGAATGTAGAAGTAATTTTTCAAATTTTAAACATTATCAGTATTAAATTCGTGATTTCATCAAGCAAATCACATTTGATGACAATCGACGAAATACTGAAATACCACCTAATCTTATTCTGATATGATATTGTGATTCTTGGCAATAATTCAATCTAAAAATGAACTGTATTATTCATAGGTGTCAATTGTATGAGTACTGATATGCATAGAATTCATATTGGTCGACAAAGTTTTCCAAGTGGTCATAGTACAGCTGCTGTATTACTATTTACGTTCCTCTTTTTTTACCTCAAAGGTATGTTTGACATCCATATAATGAAATTTTTGAGTGTTCATTGGGAAAGAGAACAGCTAATTCAAACCTGAAAACTTTTAAACACAATTAATTCTATATGTGACCCATTCTGTCATCTTCTCACTTCATTTTTCACTATATTCAGGCTTTAAAGGTTTCATTGCAGTCGTTTAGAAAATGAGTCGTATAAGATATTAATTATGATTTTTTGTAGTAGAGGTTTCTGATGGCAGTTAGAAGTTATGGAGTTACTATTACGTTTGTATAAAGACTTACAAGAAAAGAAATTGTGTATATAATACATCATAAACTTATTAATCGTTCTCTTCGATTCAGACTTGAACAGCGCATTAAAAATGCTCTTAACTTATATGCACTGATAAGGAGTAAAAATTAGAGAAACAAATTAGTTATTTCAAAAATATCGAAATAGATACTTTAAAATATCGATTTCAGCTAGAAAAAGTCATTTTTTTAAAACTTAAAGCTACTCTATTATTAATTTTTGGTGAAAAATTCGTGGTCATATTTTGCCATCTAGGAATAGTCAATGCTACTGGTAATAAATGGCTACATTTGGTACGCGTCACTGTATTGGTTGTAATAGGTGGTTGGATGTTTATGGTAATGACGACTCGTGTTACGGACCATTGGCATCACCCAACCGATGTTTTAGGTGGAGTATTGTTGGGCTTTATGTGTGCATACATTCCTTTGCGGAATATGCATTTTTCTTTAGTGTACAAAAATCGTTTGCTTGAAAATGAAAAGGCACATAATCTATAAATTTTTTTTTAGTCGCGCTGAATTAAATTTACGATAGTGCTCTTAATTTATTTATGTATTTGGGATCAAAATTTGGTGATTTGATTTGAAGTTACTATGAAATATTGTTCTGAACTTTGCTCTGAATAATTTTAACCTCTGTACTAATCGTATCAGCTCTGCACTTCAATCAATCGAACCATTTTCAATGTATAAATTTATTGACCGAAGAGTATTATCATTAAATCCTTGAAATTTTCGATGGTTACATCATTTTAATCATTACAGTGTCAATTTTAATCCATCATTATATTGTAATACGCCTCAAAATACAGATTGACTTATGTCACGATGTTCAAAAAACAAAAGATGAAAGTATTGTAAGGAAGCTGATTGTTTCATATTTTCAGAGAACTCGTTTTTTATTTGCTTGAATTTCCTGTATTACAATGTATAGTTCATAATTTAATTGAAAACATGTGTTTATGTGCTTTTTACCAGTAAAAATTTTTGGGTTTAGTTATTGATCATATAAGTAAGAAATATAGAGCTGGTTATTGCACTCATTAAGATATATTAATGCCGTACAAATACTGGCATTCATACGACACAAGAATCAATATGCGATATGAGTTCGGGATGTTGAGGATCAAAATACAGATTCTCAGCTTTTGAGTAGTTTATACATTTAAAAAGATAGCCTAGCTAAAGTTGGTCATTTCTAGTGAAGTATGTAGAGAATACCATCTTTTGCTTTTTTGATGACATGGTTCACACTTAACATTCTCAAGAGATGAATGTATTTCATTCCAAACATGAAGGAATACAGTGCTTTTGTAACCTTTAGAAATGAATTTTCAACTAATTTTCATGAGTTTCAGTCACTGTATATGAAGTTTAGTTGATGGCTTGCTTTGGTGCGGATGACCTCACTGATTTTATTAGATATGAATGTGCTGTTGAAGCTGGTGATGATGATCACTGCAAGGAAATATTAAAATGGAATTCAAGGTATGAAGTTGATGATTTCGATTTCTTCTCTAAGATTGTTGAAATCACCTGTCATGAATAGAAGATTAAAAATACTACATATGTACTGAGTTTTCTATGTTTTTCTTCTCACAAACATTATAAGCTTTCGTTTAGTTTAGTTTCATTCTGGAACTGGTCTATTTTGGAATTTCTATATTTTACTAGCATTCCGAAACTATGACTTTATCTACCTTAACAAAAGTAAGAACGAACTATTTGTATTTCGAAATTGGTTTAAGTTTTAGGAAGCAAATACCAGGAGGTTTACCGCTGCACTTCCGCTTATCAGCTGATTCTGATTCGAGCAGCGAAGAGTACTCACCATCTTATTTGGTCCCTTCATTAATGATTTGATTCTGATGTACTATCTATTTATGTATTTCGTTGATCTAAATGTTAATAAATGTTATGTATATTGCTTCATTATTACTAATTTTATAGATTTCTGATGATTGCGAGTCAACTTTCGAGCTCATTCAGGAACAACTGAGTAAAAAGATTAAAGAAAATGATTTGTTAGGCCGAAACGAAGAAAGCAAGGAAGTAGGGGACGATGTGACTGAAAAACAATTATCAGAACCGATTTCCAAGTTCTTTCAATCTAAAGATATTTCGACTATCCCCTCATCACATCCGGTGGAGAAATCAACAACTGCCCTGTACTACAAATTTCATTCAGTAGAACTAGTTTCTAGTAATTCATTTTGTTAAACTTATTTTAATTTTTTCAGACTTTTGGAAAGGACTGATTTTATTGTTAGATCTGATCTTGCGGCATATGCGAGATTCGCCGCTCCGGTTGGTATTTTAATTGTTATATTGTCTGATCATATTTGACTTGAGAAATTGAAACTGGAACTAAGAAGTTCGTTTTGTCTTATTAGTTACTAAAGGTTTGATTTGGCTAAGAGTGTAACGAACTTCCCAGTTTATGTTATTCCAACCATTGATTAAACTTTCATCGTTTTATAAGAGATTGAAATTTGTATGATACACGTCATAGATTTCACTACATAATTTTCCTCTGTCATCAACAAACGATAATGCTTTAAGAAATCAAAATCCTCGGTGTAAATAATGTTCTGAAATAATATTTTCAAGAGACATATATTTTATTGATACTTGGCTTACAAATAATTTTTGGATCATGTAGTTCGCTGTGTTTCATTTCATAGGAAATTGACGCTGGCAGGAAACTCTTGGTTTTTTATCCGTTTGCTGGACCAGAACCTGGTAACGAAAATATTTGTTTTTCATTGACAGTATGTGCTCTCTGCGATATCCGTGTTTTCGATCTTGTTGGTTTGTGTTGTTATGAATATGCGAGATATCGAAAAACGAATAACCTCGAGTAAACTGATTTTTTCCTTCAGCGTTATTTAGAACAATAATAATAAATGAATAAATAAATTAAATAAGCAAATAAATAAATGAGTAAGAATGTACATGAGCTTTTGTTATATTATTTGACACTCTCCATATATCTAAATTTTTTAACTTTGAATAAGAAATTTTATGTTTAATATCCATTATTACGAACTAATTCGAATTTCAGGCCTGTTTCGCATTATCATTTATTGATGGCAGAGGAAAATGGTGAAATTGACGAAGGTTTACCTGCAATTGATGGATATCGTTTACTCAATGAACTTGGATCATGTTGGTCAACAGTTGCTCTTGTGAAGAGCCTGACCACTTCCAATTTTCGAAATAAAGTTGTGGTTGTGTTAGTTTCATTCCTCGTTTTTTCTGAGGAAGTTATTCCTTCTGCTGATTTTGAAGTATAATCAAGATTAAATTTTGACATATAATTTAGATATACGATTACTGGGAGGCGATATGAGTTCTTCATTGAGTCGATGAACTTGTCTCTTAGATGGCTTCGTGATGAAGCTATTAAAAGACGTATAGAAGATGAATATGAGAGCTTTTGCTATAATTTACAATGTAAGTTGTTGATGTCATATTTATGTTTTTATTAAAATTTTGTTTACTATCCTTGATACAATCTGTTACATGTTTTTCCAGTTCAAGAATATGGTTTAGAAACTATAAAAGAAAGGGATATTTTGCTGGATCTCGATAAGCCAATATCTAGTACGGCTAGTTGGGAGTTTTTACTTATTCGCGCAAACAGTTCGTTTTAATTTGAGATATTGACTGGTCTCGTTTTGTAACATTTATTATTGATCAGATATGCAGTGGTTTTGATTCTGACTGCCTACGAATGCAGAGAAAAGTAAAAAGAATCAAAGTAAAATATCTGCATGTTTATGCAGCTAATCTTCAGTTTTAGAAAACGTGTAATACGTTTTGCAGGTTCTCGTGGTGATTTTACTCCTGTATCATGTATTAGCTCTGCTCAACAACTTAATCAAAGCCTCAAAGCAGACATAAATCTTGATAGCTCATTAATGTTGGAAAAACCAAGATGCTTGGGTTAGTTTTAGTAAATTTATTTTTCGTGCATTTTAATACAAGCCAGTACTAAATTCTTTTTTTATGGTCATTTCTGTGGTTTACGGATATTAGTGTTTTTCTGTCAGATCAAACAATGTATGAAAGTAAAATTTTGATCCGAGGTTGTGCACTTGTTTTGAAGATTTGCTCTCAAAAGTACAGAATGTTGATGGTATGAATTTTGCTTCGCCATCTTCCCATACTTCCTGTTTATTGGGTAGCTCAGTTGCAGTTTTTTCGGTTGAAAGGATTCATCGATACAAGTCCAATTGGAACGCCACTTTAAGTAACATTTTTTATTCAGCAATAACTTCTCATTTACAATCTTTTAGACATTGGTTTCATGTAGAATTTTGCAACATGTGTTAAAGTTCTTGTAAATGCTAAACCTTGCAAAATTTCCGTTTTAATTCTTAAGGAGACAGCCTTATTTGTCAGCTTTCTCTGGTGACATAACTTTTACGGGATATTTGCATTTTGTATGGATTTTCCGCTTGTCATTTCAGTTATTCGAATGGACGGTATTGAGTTGATTCCAATTCAAGTGGACCAGGCAGGAAAACGAATTCCTTTATTTTTGCAGTCGTCACCTAAAGCTTTATCCTTAAAATGGGATTGTGTTGGTGGAGTGGAGATCACTGATCAGTTAAATGACAATTGTGCATAATTTTCAAGTATAAAAAAATCGAATAAAAGCTGCAAAGCCAGGAAATTTAAATGCAGCGTTTTTTAATACAGAGAATGATTGACTGTGCATGAAAGCATGGTGGTGTTTATCTTTTGTTTTTTGAAAGTACGGCTTTGTAAAGCATTAAGTTTCATGAATTTTGCTTTTTTTTGTTATATCGCTTAATTTCTGATATCAAGTAACACATCTTTAAGTTTTTTCCCATTTTTTAAATTTGTAAGATGTATTATCAGTGAAACGAGAAGTAAGGATTGTTTGGCTGGCATATCTGACAACGAAAGATCATTCAGAATTGCAAAAAATTGAGTCAGCTGGAGTAACACGCGATTATAAATCCAATACTGAACCAGTGAAGTCATCTCTGCTGCATGAGATGTCAAGACGAAAAGTTAGTGCATGTTTTGGGTTACAGATGTCATAACCTTAGTCACGTTTTGTTACTGCAATTCCCTTTTTCAAAAATCGTCTTTGTTCATTTTCTTACAGTTCTATAATAATACATATTGGAAGACACTGCTGTTGAAAGCTGACCAGAATATTGCGTGGGATATTGCAGAGAAGGTTTGAATTTAGTCTTTTATATTGGCATTCACAAAGCGTTTCATCGCTTTGGTGAATGTAATTCATATCACTTGCTTTATCAACTTATAGATGAGCGATATAATCTATAAAAGAAACATGGAAGTTCATCAGATTTACAAATATTCTAATAGAGGGACAAAGAAACCAAAAGATGCAATCATGGAAGTGTTCGAGGTTACTATGGATACATCGCTGAAAAGCCTGAGTAGTCCAGCTACTCCTACAGTTCGCAAGGTATCAAAACTAGTGACGAGTGCAGTACCCACATTCCACAAATTGTTGTCTAAACATGATTAGGAAGATTTTTGTGACTATTCCCTGCTGCAATTTCATCCACATCAAAATTCCATATCAGTATATGTAGGTATTTCATTATTCGCACTAAAACCGTTCCTATTGTCCATAAAGTATCACTCGCTCCTCTGATCGTGTTGATAGCTATAGTTAATCAGTCTTTATTATATACAAGTTATTCGCAGTAATGTGTGCAGATTCTAGAAGGATCGCTTTCAAGTCTTTTTGATTGATTTATTAAATAAAATTATAAGCGATCCTTCTAGGAAGCAATAGCTTTCTCTTTTGATTTTTTCATGAATTTCCTTGCCCTTTCATTACATTTCCGTCGTATCAGGTCGTTGTAATCTTTAATGAAGTTCACGATTTGCTCAGTTCTAGATAGTAGATCTTCATAAATCAGTATTTCCAGTATCATGCGATATATGAATAAGTACTGCTAAAATATTTTTCCGTTAATTTTTTTTAAATTGCAGTTCTTGAACTCACCTAAAATTTAAAATCATTTCTCTACATTTTTTTTTGAATTTATTCCCTAATTTTCTTCGTTTTGTGATGTAATGAATTGTTTTGTGATTTTGTCATTAGAAGATGAATATAAACTTAGAAACAGCTTATAAATTGTGATCAATTTTACTAAGTCCTTAAAGGAAAGTAGCTGGTCGCACTTGGTCATTTTGTATTGCGCCGATGCGTTGATTGCGAACTCGTTTGGCTATTTCTACCATCGGTACAAATTCTTTCTTTTTCAAGAGACTAATAGCCATTTCAAGCGTCACGAATGTTCCAGTTCTAAAATTTCCTCGTTTATGCCAATTTGAAAGATAATTCTAAATGTGAATGAAGATCAGCTGATTCATCAGAACCTTCCAACGCCAGCGCTACAGTGGACAATGACGGGTTTTTGCTGGCTAAGTCCCAAGACGAGACGTCGTACTTCTCTACAAATGGATGTTGATTCTGCCACCGACTGGTCAGGCCAACCGGCATATAATATGTGCGTCACCTATCAATTTTATAACGATTGTAATTAAATTACATTTTTGTTTCAGAGGAAATTTCCACAATATTCGTGATTGCACAAACGCTTCAACTGTTGGAAATTGCTTGAAGGTTCAGTAATTTCAAGATGAATGCCAACCTCAATCCTCTTGCCTTTATATTCCACCTGTAGTAGTGTGCGTGTAACTTTCTTAAGATGTGCAACGTTTATTGATTTCTCAAGGGTTCGTACGCGTACAGAACCGTATTTCACCCATGTTTCTTCATCTTTGAAGTACTCAGCACACTGCTCCCTTCCGTTTTCATTATATTTGCACAGTTGCAGAATCACCTTAAAAATTAGGATTGACGAGACCATCCAAAAAGTTTTCTCTCTTGCAGTGATTAACGTAATTGGCGAAATTATCTGTGGCAATTATTGCGATAAGTGGTTTATTTATGAGCAGAAATCTGTAGTTATTTCATTTCTCTTACAGTCCTTATTCTGGTGTCGAGGAAATTTAATCTACTTTTTTTTACTTATCAAATGTGGCGCAACTGTTCCAGAATTAAGATAAATACGCATTGATGGCTGTTATCCGCTTAACACTAATATATCCACAACCTTGACTTGTTCTTGAACAGACATAATCCAGAAATCTTGAATAGTGTTTTCCATTGGCCCTTGAGTGCAGATAAACGTGGTATCCCCGGCAATCACGTATGAAGCGTTGATGTAATCGTTATCTGAAATTGTATTTGCATTCTTTTTATTTGCATATTTCTGAGCTACAGTTTGAGTTTCTTAAGTGTTATGGCAGCGAATATCAAGAATGTATTTACTGTCAGGGGTATCCTTGAGCACAACACGGGTCTTGTCAAGCAATCTGATGTCATCGTATCTAAAATTGCATGTTATACAGGACGATGAGTACTCGTCTGATATATAGTGCGGATGAATAGATACTTTCATGATAGGCTAATTCAAGAATGTATAGAACATGAAATATTTAATGTCGTAATGCTTTGTGCTTTGATTTTATTCCGTATAACCCTCTTGTTTTAATCCTCACCGGTTTTTGATGCAGTTTTTCTCAGAGTTCCAGGCTTTCTGAGAACCTACTGGTGCATAACTGCGAACCGAATCTACGTATTCTCGTCGAATACCTTTGACACCACCGCTGATTGCTGACGATACCCATTTCTCATAGGTCAATGGAGTCTTCGATTTCTTGGAATTTCCGGCATGGTTCTGAATTCTAGCAGTTGAGAGGATATGCGATATCAATGCACTACTTTTTCAGCAAGACGAAAATTTTCATGAATCTTGAGTCAATCATATTTTTAAAATATGATTTTTTACCTTTCAAAAAGCTTTTTCTAACTTACACTATGTTTTTCACATGACAGTTTCTTCTTTGTCCCAGATCTAGTTTTGGCCGTAGAGCCTTTCTGTTTATTTTGGTCCTTCATTTTCTCTAGCAGCCAAATCAAGATTCCTCTTATAAACGGAATCACTACAAATTTTTTCCATACAAAAGCCTTTATGGGTCATATTTGAATTGTTGAGGAGAATAACTTAACTATGTAAAACCTTCCAATGGGGAATACGACTGAAAAAGTTTACCAATAAATTTATAATATCAGAGACAGCACCATATACATTCTTAACACTGAAGAGTGATATGGGTCTGGAAAGGTAGTAGGGAGGTGATATGGTAGTGAAGAAATGGCAGACGGGTTTTGGAAGAGTGATAGAGAGGCGGTAGGTACGTCGGAAGGTGGTGGAGAACCATAAAGTCAGCCAAGAAGTAATGTATACGACCAAGCAGCCCAATACCTCAAGATTCCTAGCCTTTGTTGTAGGAGAGCCAGTTTTCGTTATAGCGCGGATGCAGTATCTCGGAAGTCGGCAGAAAGCAATAGCTTACAGTGATTTTACCCAATTTTTCATCCTTTTTTATAGTGTCTTCCTCCTGAGAAAATTTGACTAATTATTGCTTTCCTCTTCTTAACTTTATTTACGTGTCGTTTGCATATTAAAGTGGTCACTTATAAAACTTTGCATAAACAACTTCTCTACCTACTTTATATGATGCTTGCTTCTGGAAACATTTCAAAGTTTGTTTTTGCATTTGCATATTTAAGTGGATTCCTTAAATTATGCGTGGTCTTCCATGCATCTTCTATATAAATATGCTTAGTCTTCCATGCGTCCTTTATATCACTGCTGAAATCTCCCGTAACTATGCAATTTCTATTACGCTTTTTGTATATGCTTAATAAATCCAACTTCTGCTTAACTTTCTTAATAAATCCAACTCTAGAAGTGGGGACTCGTAACTATGCGTGAGAAGTGAAATTCTTGGACCACACGCTAGCATTTGTCAAAAATGTCATCAATGAAGAAGAATAACCAGTTTTAAGTGCAACCAGATACTGCCCTAATTTCGACCACATACGATACCAACAAGTGTTCCACTTGTGGTGGATGTTTTGACGGACATGTTTCTGGAAACCAGAATCTTCCGGCACCTGGAAAAACATGCTTGTAGAGCAATCTAAATGCAGTTTAAATCGACCCAACATGCGGAACTTACCTAATTCAGACACAATATGGATTAAAAGACAGATAGCCCTCCTCATGACCCAGTGTTTGATGAGTGCATGACCATCCTGTTGATGGAGTAAATAGTCTGGTTCACTACGATAACAACGGCGATTCCTGTATGGAAAGTAGTGTTTGTTGAGTTACTATTATTGTAACTAAACCGCTTTTGTTGACCGAGACATTTGGAACCTGATCAAATAAAACGAAACACTCTTCCTGTTGTAGACGAAAAAGTCATATTTTATCATCAGATATGAAAATAAACAACATAATTAAAAGAATATACGAAAATAACACCTAGGGAGAAAAAATGTACAAGCTAGTAAAATTACAATCACTGTGGAGATATCATATACAGCATAGTATTTAAATATTTAATTATGTTGTTAAATAGTATAAGTGCGAAAAACTTGACGCCTCTGAAAAATTGAATTATCTGAAAAAATACGTTGAGTTACAAAAGTAAAACAAACACAAAGAGAACTGCAGCTGCTTTGAAAAAGTCGTTTTTACTAAGTTCCCCACTGAGTAAATGTGCAACTGAAAATTTAGAAATCTATCGACAATCTTTTATTGTTTTCGTGTTGATATTACTCAGATGTTCCGCTGCTCGACTGGTGATATTTAATGGTGTATATAGAGTTAGAAAATCAGGTTCACGAAGCAGTGAAAGTGCCGATATACTGTAGCACGTGTGCAATGCATCTAGAAATATAGGGATGTGATATACTGAATGTTTTTACAAATATCTGCGCACATAGAAGCAAAAAATTACTCGTTGTATTTTGAGACGTTGTTCGTCTAGCTCATCTGTATGTATACTTATTTATTTTTGGAAGCTCTAGAACAAAACAAACCAGAAACAACATCAATGAACTTGCTGAAACCACCAATGAGCATATCCTGTGTAGATAAAATAAAAGACCGCAGCTTCTCTTCATTCACAAATACGTAGACATCCAGTATCTAAAAATAACAGTAAATACAACAAATAGTGGATAAAATGACCAGAAAAGGATTGTTAAAACTGAGGAAAACTTTTGCTGTCAAGTTGATGATGGAAGTTATGGGGACTCTTTCTGTTTCACTGGTGCTCACCTCCAACCAATATTAGGTATGAAGGCGTATTTTTAAAAGCCACGAGAACCACCAAAAATTTTTTCTGAAGACCAATGTCAAACAAGAAACCTTGAGTGTTCCACCAATCCAAAATGAGTAACAGCTATCATCTGGTTTGTTGGCTCGACCATGAAAACCATCATTTTGTTTCCATAGTGCCCACTTGATAAGTCTTTCAATTTGTTGATGAGTCAACACACTCTCATCCCATAGATGCCCTGCCATTGCTAATGAAGCTACGGCGCAAAATGTCGAACCTCCTGATATATAATGAATTCTTTTCATACTTAATAGCGTCTTCCAGATTACATGCATAATATCTTAAAAATCACTTGATTAAAGATTTATTACCAACTATTTATGTCCAGTAATCGATAATATATCGAAGAAAAAAGAAAAAGAACTACCAACCATGACTTTCAAGCATAGGTGCTTGACCAATACCACCATCAAAATTCACACATCGCTGAATAAATTTTAAAACTGATTTTAAATCAATGGTTCCAAAATCATTCAGCATGAAACATATTGCGATGGCGCAATATACAAAACGCATATCATTTTCTGTACCTTCTTGTCCTCGAAAGCTAGAATACTGTTTTAGAATAAATATCTGAGCTCATATTACTCTCAAGAAATTACGAAATTCCTATGTTCTACATAAATAGAAAAATCGAAAGTGAAGTCTCTACAACTGGTAATCGCCAGTTGTTTTCGTTTGTTTTTTTTTAATCCGTTAAAAGTACAAAAAAATATTTTAAAAGAGTGGTAAACAGGAAAAGTCTATACCTTCCATCATCAACTTGACAGCATCGAACTCCTTCTAGTACAGCTTTTCTGTCAACTCGACTTAAGTCATCTCCCAAGATTAACAAACAGCACAAAGACACATAAGTTTGTGAAATATGAGCGCTGTCATACGGTGAACGATTAGCTACAACAGTAGCAGCTCCTTCAATGCTTGTATCCGCATTGTTCTCTATTTTGCTGATGTCTGCTGGTACAGAAAAACCAAGTGATCCACGAAATCCATATGCTTGTTTCGAACAACCTCAAAATGAACAATGTTAGAAGCTAAATACTGCAAGACTAGTGATATCTTGATTTCTATGATTTGTAAGTAAAATAAACAACTATCATATTTTGCAATGCATGGCTTTTGCTCGAAATGCAAGCAAATTTGTTAAGAGAAAATATGAAGAAATTAGATTTATCAAAGTGAGATGAAAATGATTTGAATATATGAGTAAAAACGAACACGAACTTTTTCAAATGTGATGAAAAGATGAAGATGAAACGCAACAAGCACAGTGAACTATTCATTCTATGACGAGTATGATTAACTACTATACAAAAATCAACTGAATGTTTGCAATTTACAAAACTATATATATAACAAACAGTAAAAATATAATCTGCAATAAGTTTTTAAATCAATAGTTAGAAAAAGGGACAAATTAAGAAGATTGCGGTATTATGACCAGCCTCATTGTACTGAACAATTAATCTATTTACCTTTCTGCCAGAAATTTGTAGTGTCAAAAATTGAAGTGATACGATAACTAAAAGTCTCACAGCAAACCGAGAAGAATTGATTAAAAAATTGCTCTAACATCCATGAAAATAAACTCTGCTGTAAACACATGAAAAGAGCTTCAAATCCAACATTGCCTTATTTATCAAGCATATTTCTCCCATCCTCGTAATACAATTTTTGACAAAAGTTGATCATCATGAACGCTTATCACTAGTTCTGGATCGGAACAGCTTAATTCAGGTCGCGTGTCAAGTGGATCTATTTCATTAATGGCCCCGTGAAAATTATTTTGAAGCAAGTCAAAATCTGTTTTCACATTAAAAACTTTCCCTTCCTGCTTCAAACCACTACCCATATCATCAACTCTGTAACAATTCAGAAATCTAAATTTGAGTAGTACAAAAATATATGCAACGATAAAAATAAAAAACATATATTTGTTGAATGATTAAGAAAACAAAAAGATAACAAATACTTCGGAATATTAAAAGTGTATAGTAGAAATTCAAAATAAGGTGAATAATGACTGACCTCAAATGAATCTGATCATTATTATCAATCATGCGCTTTATTTTAGCTGCTCCCTTTCGCAGTGCCCTTTTCAACCTCTTTTTATCATCTTGTATACTAATTTCTTCATTCCACAAGCTTCCATCATCCATCATTCGGAATAAATATAATTTCTGGCTACCAGATTTAACAAAGGTAATTGCTCTAGTAGGTCCACCACCAAACAACTGCCGCTCAGCCCTACGTGAAATTCGTAATTGATGTTTAGGATGCTGACGATAGAACGCAGCAGCACTTTGTGGCTGCTGTAATCGTTTGATTGATGCCAACGATGACCACATCGTACTATCGGAATGACGATATAAGGAAAAAGTTTGCACATCTGGGAAAATAGTATGCTGAAGAGCATAAATAGGGTAAATAGCTCCACCACCAATAATGTCTTGCAATGGTGGTGCTGCAGTGACGTAATGACCCCCATGATAAATGCTATGACCCATTTCTAAACAAACGAGGCCCCGCATGCGTTCGTCTACAAGCACAAACCTAAAATGTTTTCTTAACTGATGAAAAGAATTTGAACTTACTGGAATCCAACACTTGGTAAAAGAAAAAAAGAAAATGAATTTGAATGCAATTTACCTCTTTGAAAGACAAATGAGAACCACTTGAGGAGCATCAGGCAAGCTACATAATTTATGTATGGATTGTCTTTCGAAAGCACTTTCGTATTGGTAATAATAAGAATTGCGTGAAGAGTCGTCATATTCTGGGACAGTATAGAGTATCTCTCCTGCAAATTCTTGAATAACAAGAAATCTCATCACTGGTAACTTTTGCATTCTAACTCCTGTTTCTTTAATTTAAGCATTTAAACCAAGAAAAATACTGGAAAGTCATAAAATGATTTAAACGAAAAACTAACCACTAGAACTGCCAACTCTTAGATCGATTAAGTGAACACTATTTTTCCCGGAAGCATAAACTAATCGAGGATGGTCTGATCCGAGGACTGACTGCAAGCAAATGAGAAAAGAATAATTAAAACTCATCTGCTCTTTCAATTAAATTTTAAACGAATACAACTGCGAATTCTCTAGCAGCAGTGAAGTTTTCGAAGGTTCTAGGAACGTGACTGAGTATTTTATAGATGAATAGATAGTTTAGATTAATAAAATACATAACTGAACTTAAAAAAATAAACAAACAAATATATATAGCGAGAGGAAAAAAAATCAAAAACTAACTTCTATGTCATGAACGGCACACTTAAGTTGAATTAAATTCCCTCCCACTTCTCCATGCCAAATGAAGCGATCACTGTCCAAGAAAATAATTTCATTGTACATATGAGGTATAAATGAGAGCGAATGGACAGGACGTTCGAAAAGTGTCAGGATAACGTTGTTTACTGGGTCACAGAGATACAACTTTTCTTCACCACGAGCAAAAATACAGTGTTTATCTTGAGAAGGCGTCCATGAGCGAAGTTCAAGTAAAGAAGAATCCACATTTAGAACTCGACAAAATTTCGCACTCAAATTTGACTGAAATATTTGCTGTTCCCTGAGTATGTTTTTAGAACCTTCGCAAGTAACCTGACTCGTGATTTGTTCCATCACAGATGCTTCATGATCCAAAAGATCTTGATCCTCGACATCAATAGTAGTTAATGACCACTCATCTAACCCTTTCTTTTGTTTACAACGCAAACGGAACTGTAAAAGTTGTTTTCTGTCTGAAAATTCACTAACAGACCATAGTCGCATAGTACCATCGGTTGTATCATCTACTGTTGTCAGTAAGTTTCTATTTTTCAAATGATCGGAAGGAATGTTATATGACCAATGTCCTTTATGTCGCAATGCAGTAGATCCGCTTGTCCATGGCGTTGTATGAGTAATGAGTTGAGGAAACCCCACTGAATGCGGAATCATAAACTGTCGTCTCCAATGATGCGCGAGATTATGTTGGGTTATGTAATAATTGTCACTCGTAGAATTTAACCCTTTATCATCGACTTTCGGGTTCATGTTGATACCACCATAAATTGAACATCCCAGATCCATGAATCCATAATTTGGCGTTGTTGGCATACAAAATCCCATGGCTTTTATCCAAGTAAATAACTAAAACATTTCCGAAAACCAGACATTTCTATACTTTTCATTTTTACAGAAAGAAAACAGTTGTCCAAAACTAAACAAGACTATAAGGGACGCTTGCAACATAAACACAACTAGAAATTTACAAAAACAAGAAAACATTTCTATGGGGACAGAATTTGCTTGCATTACGACTACGATGTATGAGAAAACGAAACATTTTTCAAAATTTTACCAGAATTACTAGTCAGTTGCAAACGATAGATCCAGTCAATTAATTGTTCTCTTTGTTCAGCGTCAACTTCTTCATCTAACTTTCCAAGTACGTCAAGTGCAGATAAAGTGAAATACAGTATCGTTACCCTTAAAATGATTTAAACTAACAACAGTTAAATTAACAACAGTAGAAAAAGTCTTTAAGGTCATGATGGTTGCTGCAACTGTTTAGAGTTACTTTGTTTTATTATATAATCAAGAACAACCTTCATCTGCTTTCAAAATTTTTTCTCAATAAAAACGTTTCCTGCAATAAAACAAGTACCTCCAAACAGTTGCAGCAACCACCATGACCTTAGAAAAATTAAAGTGGTACTCCTCTAATACATAATAGAAAATCTAGCGAACCTAAACGTCTTACTACAATATCAACAAAGTAGCTGACTTTGGAATATAAATAATAGAAAATTTGTCAAGTTAGCTTGCCTAAATGACCAACCTATTGGAATCGAAACCTCGATAAGTTGAAGGTAGAGTCGTAAGATTACGACGTAAGAATTTCAAATGCTGTGACAGGAAAAATACAAGCGACATATAATAGCGAAGATTGGAAAAATCTAATATATTCCTTACCAACCCAATCTGTATTTCAATTCAGCAAAACCTACATAATCGACGAATGTACCAATACCCCTAGCAACAGTAACAGCACTCGATCACGTTGAAGCAAAAACCAGAACAGTCACCTCCAAACTACTATACCAAAATACCACTAACCAACCCCCACTTATTACTAATTTTAGAGTTGTCAAAGTTAAATGTTTCGAACAAAAAATGTTTGAAGAACAGATATTGAGTATGACCGCGTATCACATATCATCACTTCCCAATTCATATCATCAAAATTTCAATGCTCTGTTGAAAAAAGGATATTCCACAGCTAAGAGAATGAAATTAGTTTGCGAACAGACTTCTATCGAATAATAAAATGAAAAAATATTCTGGGAACAATTTTTATACGATAACGAATTAACAACAGTAATATAATACATTTCAACTTATTTTAAAATTTATTATTCATCGCACCAATAATAAGGCCATAAATTTCCTAAATGTATCCATATTCAGATCTTCCACTTTATCCATGTTTTCGGTGAACTTTCCAGGTTTATAAAGTTGAAGCCCTGAAAAACTTATATACGCAAAAGATTCACTTTTTGCTCACATAATAGAAAAGTTGTTTATGGAAAAGAAAATGAAAACAATCTGCAAATTAAAACTAAACATTACCTGCATACATGGATTAATAAAATTCGTTAACTACATGATTTCATGGGCACTGGTATATTGACTAAGATTAAACACCTGCATAATGACAGAGAATTTAAAATATTTACCAGATTCTATCCACGCGATGTTTTTACATGAATCACTATCATTACTTATATCTAATGAATTCAGCTGGAACACAACCAAATCTAATCGACCGTTGACAAGTTGTACACCGCGTGTAACGATGGGTTGATTTTTGATATCTTCAGTTACTGGTAGACCATGTCGAGTTGCTTGCGTTACTGCCGCTCCAAAGCAAGTAACAATGGCTTTGGCACTCAGTTGTTCTCTAGAGCAATTTTTTTTCATAATCACATGAGCAAAAAAAGGAACTATCACTAGTAACTCAGTGAAGTTCCATCCCATAAAAAACCTCTACCATACTAGGAAAACCCACTAGGTTTAAACCTTCGATCCCTAATGACAATTAAATTTTCAGAGAAAACCCTATTGCTAGAGTTATAAGTACAATTTTTGTAACTTTACAGCCTACTTTGTGCAAATTTCAATACTGCTGCAAACTCTCCATATGTTAAAATTCAGCAAAGTATACTGAATCTTCTACTCAATGTGCAATTCTATATCATTCGAGAGATATATATTTTCACAAAACAAAGCAAAAATGCGTTATTGTCTGGAGAGTCATTAATAAGTAACTATCACTTCTCAACCACCAACAGCTCTAAGAGTTGATTTAACGCTGCGATGAAACTTCATCACATTTTACTCCCAATTACCAAATCAAAAATCAGTGTACGAGATGGATGAACTGATAGTTATTACGATAACATAGTTAACACAAATGTAAAATTAAAACTCACAATGTCCAGGGGTATTTCTGATTTTGTTCATGACACCACAGAACCGTATCAATGAACAGATTCTCTTCGGCTCGAGGTAACACAGCTTTATCATTATAGATATGATCAGAAGTGAGGTCGATTCTAGGATTGATCGGTGCTGTATCTGGTACCTGCATGTTATTCAGGCTGAAAAATCTTCCGTTGTTACAAATTTAATGAGAAGCTTCACAGTTTTTTATTAATTTACATTTTTTTAACGTTATGTTAATGGGAAAAGAAATGAAAAGAATCTGCAAACTAAAACTAAACATTATTTTCATTAATTTTGAAAAAAAATAGCTGATTAAAAATTAATCTTTTATAGAACAACAAAAATTTTACAAGAAACATTTACAATCAGATTTACTCCTATCCCAAAAATATTGAGAAGCCTTATTTCCTTTGATAAATTACGAAGTAATAAGGCACTGAATAATCTACAAAATATAGCGCACTAAATATTAACAAAAAACGTACTAAATGCATTAATAAATGTAGTAGAAAAATAACCTCATAGGCTTTGCCCAAGGTTTTATGGGTTCTGGAGATTGAACAATAATATGAGGTACAGAACGCAGAACGAACGGAATTGTCTCATTTTCCGCATTTCGAATTTCTATCATTGCGCTCAATGCCTCATCTCGGTCATACATGAAATGGAATTTAAATCATAGTAGCAGTGCATACATCAAATAATTACTGATGAAATCTTCAAATTAATATAGACAACATAAAGCATTGGATTATTGTTTCATTACATACCGAAGATCTAGTAATTGCGAATGTCCTACAGCCATGAGATGTACTGTGCGAAATAGGTTATCCAGAATTATGTTTCTAGAATGCCACAAAATTGCTTATTAAACTCTCAAGTGTATATTTCACACATACTGACATCTAAGCAGTCAATTAATCTTTAATTCACAAATGTTAAAATACATTTTCTGACAAAGAAGAATTAAAGACAAAAATTAAAAATTCACAGAAGTCACCCCTTTGTTAACGTCGGAATACCATAGACACGATTCGGAAAATAATTTGTCCAGAATATGATAGGATCAAAATAACGTGGTAATTTTTCCAATGTTGGATCATAACGCTCTCCATGCATGATACAGTCGCATACACAATCCTCAAAACGTTCCGGCAGCAGTATTTTTGAAGCCTAGCAATAAAACTTTACAAATTTTAATAACCACAAATGAAACAACTGACAAGAAAATAGAAAGGATGCTTACAACAAAAAAAGGAGATACTAACCAAATTCAAAACAGCTTCTGGAAATCCTATCTTTTTGACTGCTTTTGAAAGAGAACAGGCTTGATCGATGCCATCAGTAAATGCCTCAGTGCCATCAAAAAGCAAGCATTTCATAGACTTAAATAGTGGATGTTCCTGAAACCAGGTATAACAAGTTCATGTAAACTAATACTTTTAAATGCATAAATATGAAAAGAAATCAATACATGGATCTGTGGAATTGTGTGAGCAGGATGTTTAATAGTTGGTAGTTCTTGACTCGCAGATGTGAAAAAACCAGAAGCGTTAGGATCATGTATCTCAATTCCATGTTCCTAAACTGTGACATTACAATTTTCATCCTCTGATTATTCAAAGAGTTTAATGTAACAATACTTAACCTTATATATCGTCTAACTAGTGCGGCACTATTGTGTTCAACTGATGATTACTTTTCATTTGGATTTTATGTAGTTTTTTTAAAATAAATTCTGAACCTGAACAGCAGGAGAAATTACAAAGCTTGGCATTTTTCGTTTATTTCGTGCTGCCAGAATTTCTTTATATATGCGAGTATCCATTTTTCCCCACTGCTTCAGTGGCTTGAATTTTCTGAATACCATGACAGCGCTCTCGGCATGTGCATTCAAAGTCAATAGTAATAATCGGACGACGTACGAAAAAAATATGAGAAATGCTAAAATTGTAAGACCTTTGATATTTTATATACTAGAAACCACAGAACTAAAAACTTGGTCATATTAATTAATAAAGAGAAAACAATGATTTTTCTCATGCTAAAATGACTATAATAAAATATGATTCAAGAATCGATGTGTTATTCAGGTAGATATGATAGGATAAGCAGCTTTCCTAGTTTCATAAACATGAGTCAAACATATACAAACATAATGAAGATTTTGGAATTCAGCACCTAAATCTTGGAAACATAAATATTGAAGAAGAGACTTTTGGAAGTTGCTGTAATTACATTCTTGTCAAAAGAATTAACCCTATGAGATGATCAATTTTCATTAGTTTTAAACTTCATAAAAAGTTCCTTCAACTTAAAAATTTGCATATCTTTGAATCCACAACTAAAAATGCAATAATGCCAAGTTTTTTGAAATAAATAATAATTATTATTCAGACAATGGATGCTTTGTGCTCGAAATAACGCATTTTTGTCATGCAATTTTGACATCCCATTTCCAAATTTGAAAAAGTATTCAAGTGAACTTATACATCTTTCATTTATAAACTTTTTAATTTTGATTCACTCCATCGAAGCAATAATTATTTTCACTAAAAATTATTCTGAATTTTTCGTACAAATAATTTCCAAAGAAAATCAATCTTATTATTGACAATGATCGCAGTTGCTATGGTTACTTCACTATGTCCTTAAATTAAAAAGCTATTCTTTCGGACATATTGCTTGATCGAGAAAGAATAATGATCAGATAATTACCAAAAACTTCTGATTACTATTTTATGCTTTGTGCCCAGACATCGCTTGTTTTCAGTGTTATGACTCACTGATTATGCTTATCAATATGAGGTTTTTGTGTTACATTGAATATTGCACAGCACAATCTCAATCTACTATTTTTGTAATACTTTAAAAGTTTGAAAAGCATTTCAACCTTATTGTGGTATTTGCAATCTTGCCTTTCTAATCTCAGCTCAATAATGTGCAATGTGGAATAGTATAAGAGTCTTTCATCGTATCATTAAATACTGCAAATATGCTTCAATTCCGTTCTGTTGCGGTTAATTGCAATGCTTGGCAAATTTATTTGAAAAAATTATTCTTTAACAAAAGTAGATAACAATTAGAGTGAATTGATTAGATAACAAGTAAATCAAGTCTAAATTTGCTATATAACTTAACTCAAAACTCTGATCAAAATAGACTGATCAAACTAATCTTGTTGAATTACACTAGTCTTGTGTATTTCATTGCATCTTATTTAGTGCAAGTTTTCATTGCATTCTATTCTGAAATATTTTTAAGAATTAATGTCCGTATTAGTGGAAGAAAAAATTGAAAATGAAGCTAAGATAAGTACTAATAAGAATGAATTAATCAAGAATCATGAATTGATGGAATGGCATGCAATCAGTGGAGTACTAGCTGTGACAACATTTACTGATAAAGTTGGAAGCGCAATTAACTTTTTCACACCTCAAGTAAGCTATTTTGGATATTATTTTTTAAATAAATCATTTTGTTACACATTCAATACGAATTCAGAGAAAATTTAAATTTTATGAATTAATCATTAAAAGCAGTAAGTGAAAATCACTGCTGTTAGCATGTCTTTTTTAATGCAATTATTTATGAAGGTAGAATAATGAGAGTATGAAATATACTTATTGAAAATGATAACAGTATTGCTAGGAGATAATTTCGCATTAAATCATATTAATTTCCCACTATTTATCCTTTTAAGATAAATTTGACATTAAGTAAGTATTAAATTCATAATAAAATTATTTGAATTAATTCAAATAATTACGTATAATAATTTAAGAGTAATAAAATTCATAAGATATTTTATGAGTTGGAAAAAAAAGAATTATAAAGGGAAGAATGGAAGTTAAAATGTTACCCTGGCAAAAAAAAATTTTGCTTACTTAAACTCAACTAAATTGTTATCAGCTAAGAATGTCATAGAAAAAGAAACAATCAAAAATTTGCATCTGTAAAGGCTCGAAAGAGTGAGTATGAGCCAATTCATAAGCCTTACGTACGAATCACACATATTTGTTGGCATCCCGTAATTGAAATTATTGCTGCTGGCTATGATACTGGTGAAGTTCTGCTTCGTTTCGTTCAAACCAAAAAAGGTAATATAGAAATTGAAAGAGTTTAAAATCATTTTTGTGGTTTGTTTTTATCAGTGATATCAGATATGGTCAGTAAGCATTTTATTAAATATACATTCAAAATATGGAACGTTCAAATTATCTAACAGTGCTAAGCAATAGTCATGCCATGTCCCGTCTATCATTCAAATTTTTTTCAATTTTTTACTACGAAATTAGTCAAATAATCAAAAATTATTGTTATTAAGTATTAAACAATATTCAGGTAATCATTTTTTTTAAACTAGAAATATAAGTTAAACTTATTTTGCAAAAACAAGTAATAAAGTATTTATTAGTAACTATAATATTCATCTCTCTATTTACTTACTTTCTAATAAATGCATTTGCTATCAGAAATCACATAACTTGTATTTATTACGTAATTGTTGTGCATTATCTTTCATGTAGATATCATTACTAGTATAAATTGCTATTTTGATTTCAGACATTACTTTCGCTACTAAAAGTAATGAGATAAGTTGTATACTATGGAGTCAAAGAATGCTAGAAATTTGCATTGCAAACAAGGCAAGTTAATTTGTGAGAAAAGAATGCTGCTAATTATTTATAATGAATTTTATAATGGAATTTTAATCAAGCGCAACAAATAATATAATTGTTATTAAATTAAGAATGGTTATGTAAGTTTATGGCAAATTATCAGCGATATTGGAAAAGAATCTGCAAAATGTCTCATCAACGGTACTATTAATGAAGAAGCGAATTGTATTTGTCGAAAAACGTCAGTAAAGTTCGTCTTAGTAACGATACTTTTTTCTAGAATTTAATTTTACAAATAAAGTATGAAAGAATAAAAAATTAGTATGGGAATACCAATTTAGCAGGTAATTATAGTTATCTAAAATATGTTTGTATGCTTTAAGAAACTCTTTTCGGATTCTTTTAATCATTTAATTCTATCAAACAATGTTAACATTTTTGGATAAGTCACAAGTAATAACACTACAATGATCTAATCTATGAATGAATCTATGACCTTAATAGCTGACCAACAAACCTGATAACAGTATTGATTACTTATCAAAGTTCATAACTTGATAAGAGATTATCCTTCTTTATAAAGCAGTAAAACATAGATGAGACTAGTTAGCTTTGATCTAATCTATAAGTGAATCTATGACCTTAATAATTGACCAACAAACTTGATAACAGTATTGATTACTTATCAAAGTTCATAACTTGATAAGAGATTATCCTTCTTTATAAAACATAAATAAAACTAGTCAATTAATTCAAATTTATTAGGTTTATTACATAAAATTTTTATCTATAAAACAAATTTAGCATCAGTTTAGTAATTAAAGTTTAATTGTACAGTATAGAAAAACATAACACAAACTTTGCCAAAGCAGCTCATAATAATTGGAGCAAACAGAATTATATTTTGAAAGTTTATTTTCAGCAAAGCAATGGAACACGAAAAGATCGAACAGGTAAATGCATTGGAAGAGTTATTAATAAATTATATTCTCAGAAAAAAAAGAGTAATGTGACAAATTTCAGAGTTTTTTTGTTAAATTTTTGTTCTTAAAAGTAAGTGAAAAATTAAATTGAAATGATAATAAATTCAGTTGACATTTAATAAGTACTTAATATTTTTCAAACTTTTACTGCGTGCTGCGTGCTATCATTTTTACCAAACAACAATTATGATATAATTTATAAATTTGTTGATGAAATTTGTTGTAATAAAAGCAGAAAATACAGGATGAGAATATGCAAAGAAGTGAGTGCTTCATCATTGGGGACGCAAATGGAGGCGTTCATATGATTCAAAGTGATGGCAAAATTAGTGATATTTATAAGGTAAAAATAAAAATAATATTTTATTGCTGTTATCAAAATAATGAAGTTTTAATTGCAGAAAATGTAAAAAAGTAATAGTTTCAGTTGAAGAGTTCAATATTGCAAATATTGTACATTGAAGCAAAAGATTTTTTATTGGTTTTAAGTCAAGAATTACTTCTTCATCAACTCAAATTCATCGAGCAGAACAAAGTTGAAGAAAAAATTTGTGTATGCATATGCTATTTTTTTTGTTAATTATTGAAATTATGCAGAAAATCTCTCTTAATGAAAACAGTTTACCATATCAAGAAGAAATAAATGTTTATTTTGGAGTTGAAAAAAATTGCCTAGATTAAAAATTCTACTTTTAATCTATGGTTAAGGAAGTAATTCTAATTTTTAGCACTAAATTAGACAGTTTTCAGATAAAGTTGAATGGAAAATATCAAGATATTCAGATCATTACAATTGAAAATGACATGCTTGCAATGAGTACTGGTGATAAAGAAATAAGGCATGTATTAATACTCATTTACTACTTATTCATTTTAATTCATCTCTGGACATGATGATCTTTTAATAGACCCAAAAGCTGGCTTAACATGGATTATACAAAGACATTAAATACACAAAGTTATTCACCAGTTTTGTTAGTTACATAATTTTTGAAAAAATTTTGATGAATGACATCGGAAACTACAAATCATAGCTGTGAAGATATCACTTATTTGAATTTATTCGTAGAATTTTGCCCTTTTTTTTCAAATTTTGTATTTTAAATAAATTAGTTTGCAATTCTACAGAATTTGGAATCTAAAAAATGACGAGAGTCGTGTGCTATCTTTATGCGCAGCAAAAGGTTTCAGCTCAACGGATACAATTGGCTGTTTGTCGTACTCAGATATTAAAGGTTTAACAAATCTAATAAAAAATTATAGTAATTTATGTTAGTCAATCAAGGGCCTGTTAATTAAAAATGATGTATGTATAATCTAATAGTTAAAATTCTCATATATAATTGTTCAGAATTATTTAGATTTCTATCATAATTTTAGTCTTTAAATTCTGCGAACTTTCTGTAAGTGTTAAATAATTTATTAAGGTTATTTATCGGGTGGAACTACAGAAGGCAAAATTGCGAACTGGAAGTATCGTCAGATAGAAGGAACAGTTGATGAACAGTGGAGTTTACAAGAAGCAGTAGATATTGGTTTCGAGGCGAGTTATTTCAATTCAGCAAAGTTTTGATCCTAAAATAAGATAAAAACAGCTTCACTGAGCAATTTTTTAAGGTAAAACTACTTCGTTGGGCAACAGTTTCTGGTATCCTTGCTGTTTCTACTGGTAGTACTGTGACACTGCTAAAAGAGCAATCTGTTTTTTCAACAATGAGTAAAAATGTTGGTTTTCATTTTTAATATTTTAGTTTTCAGTACGAAAATCTGATATTATTATTAATGATGTCATTATTCAAATATTAATGAAATGTGCATTATACATGCATTCAAATTTATCTACTAATTAAATTATCTCGATCAATATAAAAGAATACTGCAAAATTTTTTGGAATTATAAACTTAAATATTAACTTTTGAATGAAACTTATTCATTTTGATTTAATTTTAACTGTTTATTGTATAACTACAGATGGCTGCAATACAGTTGAATTCACAAAAAGTGACACTCGTAAGATTGGAACCAGTAATTGAAGAAATTATGCAAATATCAGTCATGGTAAAAGGATTACATACTGATGGAAAGCATCTAGCAGTTTGGGATGAACAGCAAGTTAGTCAGTCATTTTTATTCTTTTCTGTAGGGAATAAGTTTGAAAGATCGTTTTCATTTATCTATACCAGTAGAATTAAACTCGACATTAATTAACTAATCAAGAGAACTAGCAAAGAATTTAAGTTTTGCAAATAAATAAAACAAAAGTTAAAACATATTCGTGCATATTCTACTAAGAATTATAACTGATTTTTGCTAAGATAAAGCCATTGGACATTAAGTATTTGTTGCAGGTGCTTCTGTACAAAATAGTAGATGATGAATCGGATGAAAAACTTGCTGTGGAATATATCGAAAACTTCGAATGTTCTGCTCTACAAATAACAATTAGAGAGCAAAATTTATATTGTGCTGAAGGTGGCAAAATCAAAATTAGAACATTCCAGGTCACTTAAACTTCATCACTTTATTAAGATTTGTATAGTTATTCTGAATTTAAAGTTTGGAAAAATCTCAAATCTGCTAGTTAAACACTACAAGCATAATTAATTAAAGCCAAGTTAAAAGTCGATAAATCATTATAATGTCTAACTATTTCATGGATAACCGCAAACTAGATTAAAAGAACTGAATAAAAGTAAGCAAAAATAAATGTGATAAGTTTAAGAATGACTATATGTTTAGATTTCAGGGTTGTGTGAAGCAAATAATATCTATGCCAGAAAGTGAAGGAGAACCTATAATGATGGATATCAATAATTCTTGGTTATGCATTATAAATAGTAATGGATATATACGTATTTATGATCTGTCATCAGGGTATAACATATTACAAAAAATTAAATTTTTGCTCGCAAAACATATGCTGCAATTTTGAGAAAATATTAAAATATTCCTCAGGAAATTAACTAATTCAATTAATAAATGCACAAACTGCTTTAAATAAATTGACGATATTTTCGTAATCAGTAAATGAGTTGTAGTTAATTTGTTTTGCAGGGAAGTACGACAACAATGTAATTCAAAGTATATTCCGGCAGTGGTTGAAAATTTTAGGCAGTTTTTACATGTAAAAATAAATGGAACTGGCAATCGTGTTAGCTTCACGTATTTCGTTGGTGATGAAGAAAAAGTATGGCATAAATTACAATAAAAATTCATATTTTATTGTAAATCAATTGGATATTTGTCTAATTTATTACTTTCTTTTCAAGTATATACATAATATTGTTAATTTTTTAAATGATGATATTCATTAAGTGGCTTTAATAAACGTTTTGAGTAATGCTATAACAAATGAGTATGTTGCGAAGATTTCTAATAAATTTTGTAAATTACTTCTGCAGTATTTCTACGAAAGTCAACAAAACTAAAAGTTGAAATTTTTAAGGTTAGTCCCAGTATTATGATATGGGATGCCGAAACGGATCGAGTTTCAAAGTTCAATTTTCTTACTGGTATGACAGATCAGCAACAGTTTGATGCGGATGCTGAAATTGAGCTTCCTTCCGAGAATCGACCAACTACTGCTGCTGTCCGGTGAATAAGTATTCAGTGATAATTATAATAGCTCAAGATGAAACTTTAAACTAAACTCGCTTTTTTGCAGTAAAATCAAAAAAGAGCAAAAACGATTTCGTTTACTAAATCATTTGCCTGGCACATTATGTTGGGACAGCAATGATCCACGATATTTAATATGTGAAGCAAATCCTTGGAAAGCAAATATGGTACAAACTGTGCATTGTGCTTTTATTGTTTGTTACTGAGTATTCATGTTTGAGATTTGCCAATTTATGCAGCTTGCAAATGTTATAAGTTGAAAAAAATCGTAGATCAGCAATGATCCACGATTTTTTCTTTAACTTTACAACTTTTGTTAAGGACTAAACAATTACACGGAAAATAGCAGTAATACCAGTGCTTGCACTATTGCATAATTTAGTTTGTAATAATGGATCAAACTGCTTGAGTTTGGCGGCAATTTTCGTTAATTTTTTTTAGGCAATCATAAATCTTTTGAACTGCTTTGATTACATTAAATACTAATGACGATAGTAATGTTGAAGAGAGTGTTTCAGTTCGATACATTTATATGACTAATTTTTAGGGGCCTAATTATTTGCTAACAATGTTTGTAACATCTGAAAATGGCTTGCATATGCACAATATTCACGTCCGATCTCGTAATGCAGAATTTCTTCTTGGTTGCACAATACCGTATGCTTATTTATTTCAAAGAGTTAGTCTTCCTCTCACAAAATTATTGTAAATAACTTAATTGCTTAAGTTATGATTAATATTATAAAAAATTTTTTATGCGTTGTTGAAGTAGATATCCATTATGAAGAGTTACAAAATATGAAAAAATATACTCTATCTACTTATTGGTCTTTATAGCACTAATATAACTGTTCTTCAAATTTCTTTGCTAAAAATTCTTTGTTGAAAAAGTATTGTATATCTATAATTACTGTTTTAGGATCATAATGAGACTGTGAATGGTAAAAGTGAAATTGTCATTGGTAATTTTTTATTGCGTCAAATTTTACCTGAATTTTTCGGGCTAGAAAATTCTGATACAGCAACTAAAGAGGTGCATAATTAATACATAATAATAAGTGCTATTTTCGATTCCATTAAGGTTTTCTTAATTTGGATTTTTTGACTCGTATATGTATATCGCTTCTTTTATTACAAAATTCGATACATTAAACTTCAGGCAGTAATGAATTTCTTGTACTATATGACAGTTGATAAAATGGATGAAGCATTCAAAGCTATCAAATTAATCAAAAGGTTACGTCTATATTTTGAAAATACTGCTCTTATTTCGACAAAAATTATCCGTATTTTTGTAATTTTTCAACGTTTCTAATACAGCAGCTGCACTTTTCTTTTTCATAACCATTATGTTTCAATTTAGCGAAAGTGTTTGGGAGCATATGGCTCAGATGTGCGTGAAAACACAACGTCTTGATATAGCTCTAATATGTCTCGGGAAAATGAAACATGCCTCTGGAGCAAGAGCTTTACGCATCTCAAGCAAAAATAATGACCCTCATGAAGTTCAAGTGGCTATTTTAGCCATCCAGCTTGGTTTATTAGTAAGTCTCTCAAATGTCATAGTTTTCTTATTTTCATAATCACATTTTTGAATTAATGAATTAATCTCAGGATGAAGCGCAAGAATTGTTCTACAAATGTAAAAGATACGATTTGGTAAATCGACTTCTGCAAACACGAAATCGTTGGGATGAGGTTAACATTTATTATTTTTGATGATATGAAGGAATTAAGCAAATTTTATAAAGCATTAATGAAAGTAATTGGAGTTATAGGCTATTCAGTTTGCTCAAAATAATGATCGAATCCATCTACGGAACACATATTACAATTATGCAAAGCATCTTGAGTCATTGGGTTTAATTGATAAAGCTATCGAAAAGTACGTAATAATTTCGATCGCATTTTATTACTTTTTCTTTTATATTTTATTTTTTTAAACTTTTTAGCTCATTTTGGCGAAGAATTTTTTAGCTATGAAAAATCAGGCATGCATCGATTTGAGGTGCCACGTATGCTTTTCAATGAACCTAAAATGCTTGAGGCATATATAAAGAAAACAAAAGATCCGTTAGTTTTTTTCGTTACTTATAATTCAAATTACTTCTCAAAACATTATAGTTATCTGTCAAGTTTTTGAAAAAAAATTACAATCACAATTTTTAATCAAATTTTGATGCATTCAAATAAATACCATATGCTTACTTGATAACAGTTTTTCACTTCGTTTTATTTACAGCATTTAACGATGAATATTATCAATGATTTACAGAGATTTACAACAGTGGTGGGCTCAATATATGGAAAGTCAAAATGAATTAAAAGTAGCGCGATTATTTTATCAGTATACGAATGATTATTTATCAATTGTTCGTCTACTGTGTTATAGCAATGATATTGACGAAGTCAGTAATGAAAAGTATCGAAGTTGTTTTATTTTTATTTTTTAATGTAGAAAACAATTTAAGCTTTATTTATCGCTATAAAAATATAAATTTACTTCATTTAATTTAAATTATAATATTGCTTAAAATTTTTCTGAGTTAATTGTTTTTGGTTTATGCACAAGTCATTTGAAGATACAATTAACTTGTGAAAATAAGCTACTTATTTAATACAGAAATAAAATTATTTTACTGTGTAAGTTAGTAATGATATTACAGGCAGTTGAAGTAGCTAATAATAGTGACAATAAAGCAGCATGTTACTATCTGGGGCAATACTTTGAAGCACACATGGATCCAAAAAAAGCAGTAGCATTCTTCACGAAAGCATGCGCATACAGTAATGCATTACGACTTGCTAAAGTATGAGTAATTTCTTTTTGCTAAATTATTATATTTTAAGAAGTGATTTTGTTTTTTATATGTTACGAGGCTGAAATCTTACAAAAATTATTGAAAACTGAATGAAATGCATTAAATTTTTCCTTTGATTGACAAATTAGGCTATTATTTTTTGGATTAATTTTATGTTTATTAACTTACATTTCATCAAACAACTCAAAAATTTTGAAAATAAATATTTGCAGGAACATTGTATAAACGAGGAAATTGCTAACTTGGCTCTGATGGCTGGAGGAAATGAAATAGTTGAGGCAGCGCAATATTATGAAAATATACCTGGACAAGCTGATAAAGCTGTAATGCTGTATCATAAGGTAAAGGAATGGATAATATTTTAGTCAGATATTTTATTCTAAACTTCAAATTTTATCATAACCTTGATTTTTCCAATTCTCAGTGTTGCATTTTAATTTCTGATTACTCATCATTCATTATCCCGATTATGACTTTAAGTAATAACTTTTAGTAATAGTTTAATAAAATTTAGGCTGGCATGATTAATCGCGCTCTTGACTTAGCATTTCGTACAGAACAGTTTAGTGCATTAGATCTCATCAGTAATGATTTGGATCAGAATTCTGATCCACAAACGCTTCAACGTGCTGCTGAATTCTTCCAAAATAATCAGCAATTTGATAAAGCTGTTCAGTTACTAGCTTATGCTAAAAATGTGATTTCTTTTTATAAATTCTCATCAGTAAATAATTTCCAAGCATTTTTATTAATTAAACGATTAATGTGATTCTTGTTTAACCTTCAAAAGAGTTATAAAATTAAGTTAAGTAAGTAGATTCTAAATTCTTTTTATACTTTCAATCACTTAATTTAATGCAGTATTGGGAGGCAGTCAATCTATGCAAAGAAAAAAATGTTCCATTAAGTGAAACACTGGCAGAAAAATTAACTCCTTCAAAAGGCTTGTCAATTTTTATCAGATTTTTTTAGTTTTAATTAATTTAATCTTTTATAGAATTTGATTAATTTTAAAATAAGCATACGCATTTCAGTAAATTCTAATTCTTTCTTTACTTTTCAAAAAAATTTGGTACTCATAAAATAACACAACTTCTGTAACATTACAGTAATTTATAAAAATTTGTGAATGTTTAGAAAATATTACAAATGAAGCAGATCGCATTAAATTGCTAGAATCTATTGCTGAATGTTGTCTACATCAGCGAAATTATCATTTTGCTGCAAAAAAGTATACTCAAGCTGGAAATAAACTTAAGATAAGCTTTTTCGTCATTCTTATTATTAAAAAAAAAAAAAACTTGGATTTCCGGAAATGAAATTTTGAAGTATAAATGTTGATTAAAACTTTGCAGCTATGCTTGTAATGTTGAAATGACTGTTCTATGTCAGATATTTCAAAAATTTTATTGAAAATATTTAGACAAGTACATAAATTTATATCGAAAATGAAATGGCAAAAATAAGATAAAAATATTCAATTTAAAATGAATTACTCGCATAATGCATTATCATTACAAAGCTGAAAAAAGAAAAAACTAAAACACTTTTTTTCACCCTTACTTACTATCAACTTCAATTTTCATCGTTTTGTAAAGTAAAATGTTTGCAGGCTATGCAATCGCTAATTAAATCGGCTGATACTCCTAAAATTATATTCTTTGCATCTACAGCAAAAAATAAGGAGATTTATATATTAGCTGCAAATTATTTGCAAACATTGAATTGGAAAGAAAATGGGGATTTGATGAAACGGATCGAATCGTTTTACAGTAAAGCTAACGCACATGAACATTTAGCTACTTTCTATGAAGCTTGCGCAGAAGTGATTAGTTGATTACTCTTCGAATAATTTGTTTAATTAATCAGTTTCATTTTAGCACAAACAAATAGCATTTTTTATCTATTTTAAGAAATTATACTTGTATTATGGAAAGTAAGTCTTATTAATAATTAAAATTGATAAATTTTTTTCACATGTTACTTGTTTCTTTTCTGCTAGTTTCATGCCATTAAGATTTTTGAGAAGAAAAAAGAAAATTATAATTTGGTCTAAATGAAAATTGTTATTATTATAGGTTGAGATTGACGATTACAGAGATTATAGTAAAGCTATGGATGCTCTTATTGAAGCCATGAAATATCTCACTAAAGCATTCGAAACAAATGCAGATAGCAAGGAATATTTAATGGGACGGCAAAATAAATTAGAAAAAACTATTGGGCACATAAAAAAATTCCTACACATCAGAACGTAAAAATATTGACTGTATATGTAAAATTGTTATATTTCAGTATCATATTTGATAAGTACTTGGTTATTTTTGGTTAATTTTTGAGTGAAAAAAATGATTAAAAGTCCAGTAAGGCAATAGCAATTTATAATTTTCAGTGCCTATGAAATGGATTCCTCAGATGCAATTCGGCAATGCGAAGCTCTTGCGAATGATAAAGAGATTTGTAAAAGTATTAGGCTGGGTGATATTTATGCTGTGATGATTATGCATAATGTTCATGTACTGAATTACAACAAAGTTAGTATTTAGTGCTTAAAGTTATAACAGAAGAAATGCTGAAATTACAAAATGCTTTTTGCTTTCAGGCATATTCACTAATACAGCAACTGAAAGAACGTGAGCCACAAATTAAGTTGAGTCAATTTGTGAATCAAGAAATTCAAAATATTATATGTGATGAGTTGAAGATCCCACGGATATCTGACACAAACAGTACAGAATCGGAATGGACTGGAGAAGATGAAATTGATGGCGAAGATGTGGATTACAGCTATGAAATGAAACGACGAATTCAAAGTAATAAATATAAATTTGATAAAGATTACTTCAAATCATGAACTAAGATGAAGGAATTTACTTACTTTTTAAGACGAAAAGATAACATTTATCAAAAATATCTTCTAGTCTGATTTTTTTATCAATATATGCTAACTTATCGATATAACTTCAAGTATTTCATCTCACCTTTCAAAGTTTGTCATTATTTATATAGTGATATATCAGTCAGTTTGTTCACTATATGTTTTAGCATGCACTTGTTTTGATTACTATTCGCAAAACAATTCATGTTACTCAGTTGTATTTGCAGTTCACTTGTGGTACACACATCTAACTTTGTCAGTTGTTGATAAGTAATGAAAAGTGTAAGTGAACAAGTTAAATTTCTTGATCATAAAACGCTTTGTTGAAAATGAATTAAGAGTGAGTGTATTAAAACAGAAAATAAATGTATTCAAAATTGACGACAAAGCATAAATAACTTAACAGCACAAGTAAATAACAAAAATTGTACTAGTTGATTGCTACAAATAAAAAAGAAAGCATTCTGTGTTTAATAAAAGTTGTTGTCGTTCATGAACATGAACATGAAGTTTGATAAAAG